CGTTCTTAATTGGTAAGCCAACGTAATACCGTAACCGATGTGGGGGAGCGATTGTCAAGTCCCTCCAACTCAAAAGGAGGATTCTCCAATCAGGCTGTGAAAGCGCCCGGTGTGCTGCTCCCTAACGATCGATTTCAGGACATTGTTTCCAGGTGCACGTTGCAAGTTGTCGAGAACAGAACCAAACTCAACTAGTATTTCGTTACATAACCACCTTCACAATAGTTTGGTATACTAAATACTCTTCAAGTTCACATAAAACGATTCACAAGTAACTTGTCGCTAAGTTCTAGTTTCTTTTAATATTTGGTGTCCCTGACAATGTCAACCAATGCTATTGTCTTGCAAATTACACGAGTCATGGCATGATTGTCACTCCAAGCCAAGTCAAGCCAGACCTCAGTACACGCTATCATACTTCCCTTTAACACTATAAGACAATTGCTAAATTAGAATAATGTTTGTGACGTCGTCGTCGTCGTCCCCGGCACAGAAGTTGACCTTAACTTGTAAGTTGTTGTTCAATCTAACGTTAATGTAGTTTAATGATGGCGTTGTTCCGGTCGGCTGAAACGCGGTGTTAAAATTCTCTAGCGATAGTACCTTTACAAGCTTTCGAAGTAATACATTTTTGTGCTCGCATCAAACGGTTGTTCAATTTTTCTTGAGTGAATCGTAGCTTGCGGCACATTTAGCTAACAGATGTTGTTACCCAAGTAAATCGAGGCTCGGGACAACTAATTATGGAAAACTGTCTTGTCTTTGCAAGATTACGATGTAGAACTATTTCTTTGTGCATAGATGTCCCCAGAATATTTTTAAGAATATGTCGCTTTGTGGGGCGAAAGTTAACGCTATATCATTTTGGGGATACCTGCCACACCTAATGAAATGAATGATCTACTTTCCTGCCTAGTTCAAGTTGTAACCACTTACATAATTAATATTGCGCACTGGATACCGGTTAGCGGCGTGTTAAGTATTCTGTACTATCTAATTGGTTACCTTTGACGACGAGATTTCGAACACCATATTAATAAGTAAACATTAGCTCACCGTTGGGCATCGAGCCGCCCTCCATCACACCAGGTACACAAATACACACATGAAGTGTTACTGTCAGTATTTGGCTGCAAGTGGTTTCGTTTTATGTTACAGCACGTTGAGGTCAGCACATGTGGCCATAGTGCTGGATTAAGAATACAGAGTATCACCACCCCTGTTCATCCCGTGGGTATCGAAAGAGCCGACTAATAGAGCAAACTACGCTGGACAACAACAGCACTGAAAAGAGCAGGGAAACTTGAAACAAATCCTATACCGACCCGTCTGGCCAAAACCTGATTAAACATTAGGCAGAGTAGGGAACGGCCACAAAAGAAATTGAAATTGTTGAATTGACAGTTGATGAAATACTTCATACTAGGAACCATCTGGTATCGAGTAGTAGAACTAATAAGATGAATGCTTTACGTATTGTGGACTGGACTGTTGGTCTAGTGGTTAGTAACCCTGACTGCTATGCCAGAGGTCGTGGGTTGAATTCCCACCCAGGACAAATAATTGTGTGATGAGCATGGTAATTTTTTCTATGTCTGGGTTTCATTTATCTATAATATGTATGTATTTAGAAATATATAAGTATGTTTATCAGCAATCTGGTTACCATAGCACTCTGCGTAAATTGGGATCAGACGGCCGTGTGTGAGATGTGTGAAAATATTATTATTATTGTATGGAAAAACTTTGATGTTCTTAATCTGTAATTGTGAAAGTAAAATAATTTCATTGAAAAGGTTTTACTGTGCTCTATGCTTCAAAATTTATGAATGTGGACATAAGAGTACTAGATAGATTATACCTAAAGTATACAAAATAATTGCAAACGCTGGCTAATCCCTACGAGATAGACCAAAATAATGTACTACTAAATTGTATATTTTAAAAAGATCTACAAAAAAGTCCGCAATGATATATGTATCTCCTAAGTATAATATATCTACTAAGGACAACCCACAGTAACCATTTTTATCTTTTAAATATTCCAAAAAAAATAATAGGTTATTTACGAAGCTATTTTAAACAATACATTATTGTTAATTATCCAATTAAATACGTTGTGCATTTAATGTAGATCAAAATTGTTCTTTGCAGCATATCATTAAAATTAATATTTTAGAAGACATTAGAGGTTTAAACTGCGAGGGCAAAGCAGAGGTCGCCGCTTCGGGTCGGCGCTACGTCGGCCGCGGGCGGCAGGGGCCGGCAGGATCGGAGCAGGCCTATAAATATTGCGTACAAAGATATCCTGAAGTATAGTCGAATCCTAATAATAGTATAATTAATTACTCCACACTGACACCACATTAACAGTATCTACATTGCAACCGTACGAAGCCGGGGCTGGTAGCTAGTTTATAAAAAATAGAATTTTTAATAAATGTAATATGAGGTCATTTTGCAGAACAACAAACAAATAAGAAAATATTGGTTCCAATTTAATCAAAATTCATTTTAATTTATTCTAACGTTTTTCAGCTATTACCGAATATGGATAATTACTGCACAATGAAATGGTTCGTCATTTTGTTTGTGTACTAATTTTGCTTATTTTTTATATAAATCTATATATTTTTCTAAAATACCTCTATTTGATGATGCTATGAAAACAACAAAAATAAAAAATAAACGTGTCTGCTTTAGAACACACGACTGAAGTAAAACTTCTCGGCTATGGGAGAAAGAGAGAAAGAAAATGTGTGCCTCTCTCTCTCTCTTGCTCCTACAGTAATATACGAAACGTAACTCACTCTCGTTGTATCTTCACTAACTTATATCTCCCTCCCAACTACAGTTTCACCAACTTAATTCCCAAGTCAAGCATGCGTAAAGAAGTTTTACTTCAAAAAAACAAACCGAATACTGAGTGGGATTCGAACTCACTCATCTCAGTGCAGTTGACCGACTATCGATGATTACGTAAACACTGCTAAATAGCTGATAATAATATGCATTTAAAAACATGTTCGTTTTTTAAGTAAAGTAAAAAAACTTTATTTTTAAGTAAAATACCAATTCTAAGATATACTTGTTTCTCTATTTGTTATTTTGTTCACCTAAAGTCATTTACAAAACTAACTTAAAAATTAAATTTTAAACTACACTTCAGGCCCCAACCCCATGCCGGGTCCGTCACGGACCCGTGTTGCCATCCAATGACACCACCGGTAGTGTCGAGGGTATTTTCAAATCCCCGTGACACCACCGGTAGTGTCAAAGGTATTATTCAATCAACATACGTACTGGACGAAGTACGACCGACGATAGAAAATATTAAAACATTGGTAACCAATAAAAAAGGCGGCAAAAAAATAATAGAGAACTAATAATAAACTTTTTTTTTATTTTGGAGATAAAACTTACATTATGTGGGCTGCTACTTCTGCTGGGGGCTGCAATTCTAGAATAGTGATCATATCAATAAAACCATCATATCAAAAAAAAATTTTTGAAGTGAAAAGTTCTTTAGCGGCGTTGTACACTTTTTTTATAATGGGTAAAAAAAGTAATATAAATTGTCATGTTTGTGTACGATAGCGCAATAAATAAATATTGTATTCTACCACATAAATGATAGTACTTTTATACTGATAATTAAAGCAATTCGTGCAAAATTATTCCCTAACCATTCCAAAATATCAAAAATGCACAATGTTAATATTAGAGTTTTCACTTCTGCCGGCACCCCTGGAGTGCAACCCGTCTTTTTTTTTTTTGATAATTTAATATAAGAATACGATAACTTCATTTTCGAATTGATAACCTCCTCCTTTTGTTGAAGTCGGTTAAAAACGATAACTTCATTTTATTAACGTCAATCTCCGATAGTGGCACATCACTATGTATGGATTTAAAGGCTATTGATGATGATGATGATGATGACTATGTATGGATACGATGGTAATGTCAATTTTGTCACCGAGATTTAAAAAAGACGACGTTTTTCGCTTTTGCTTCGTATGCTTTTCTTTACTACACACTACACAAGTTTATAAGTGCATATAACACAAACACTAACAACAATAAATAAAGTTATCTGCAAATATATGAAAAAATCTTGTACAACATTAACAGCCTTTTGATTACAATTGATATTGACTTTCAGTATATTACAATGTACTCTGTGATATTGACAAATTGTAATGACGAATTGACACGTGACTAGAGACAAATATAAAAAAAACCGCCGTTGTTTATGCTGTTTAATTTTTCTGTAAGACGGCCAGGTTATACAGTATAAATACAAGTTGTGTATGTTTGGAAAAAATATGGCATACTTCAAAAAGTAAAAAATGGCCTCTTCGTGTAATTTTAATTTTTTTTGCCAACATTGTATATTGTATTTTACTTTCCGATTTTTTTACTTCTTAGAAGGTTCTCGTAATTTCGGAAAATCATTTCATTATGGCAATCCTGACTAAAATTCGCTACCAAATGCAATGTAGTGTTTTTACACACTACATTGCATTTGGTAGCGAATTGAACTATTTCCAAAAGCAAATAACACGCCCGAGGCGCTGCGTTCGAACACATTTAGAGGGGTTGACTTCCTGCGTCCATTTGTAGAGAACCGTATACACACTATTCCACGAACGACGGTACATTACGTCCTCTACTTAACGGGCCACTGTTGTTCAACCGGTGTGAGTATATTCCCACGACATATCGTAAACGCATCTTGTAATAAGCAAAATACGTCTGAGAAACAAAACCCAAAAGTACATTAACTCAACTTTAAATGACTACTCTACATCTGGACATTAGTTATTTTTTCAAAGAGACCCTATATAGTTCTACGAGGTGTCCAGACGCTCGGTGCTGGCAGAGCCACGGAGACACAACTCCTGGACTGCCGGGTGGTGGAGAAGGTGGCACGCGAATCAAACAAGTAGTTATTATACAGCAGTCAGTTTATTGAGTGAGTGGGCGGGCGCGGGCCGTTACTTGTGCAGGCCGGCCCGTTTGGCTTCCAGTTCGTAGATGAGAAGTCGCCACATTTTAACCACGAACACCTCCGCCTCCTCGTCCAGCACCTGCGGAACGGGATTTATACACGATAAGAGTTCCATTATGCTGCGCGTACATCCAGGATGCCAAAACATTGCATCTAGTCGATCGCAATGTCTTGGCAAAATGGATGTACGCATTATATCTTTACAATTTCAGAAATCTGTAAATATAGTCACGTGTATATACACCGATTTCATTAGACTGAATAAATATAATAAATGATACAATACTTTTATATTTGTGATATTGGTCACAGCTAAGTTCTGTTTTACTAGACAGTCGTACAGTTCTAATATTTCTGTCTAACAATTGATAGTCTATTTTGGTGGATTTAATTTCTTTCAATGAGTAATCTTTCAAATTCTTTGACAAAGGCACCCCTTGTGTCGCTGTTTTTCGATCTCGTGAGTTGATGAATTACTTCAATAAGTTTATTACATAATTTTAAATTTGAAATCGTTTATCTTTATACAATGTGAAATGCCGGCTTCATTAAATACACTATGTGAAGTAAGGAAATGGTAAGATGACTAAACGGCAATAGCTTGACTCCTCGTGACGTACCATCTGCACGTCGTCGAGGATCCCCTGCGGTGCGGAGCCGCACACGACCTTGCTGCAGATGAAGTCCACCAGGGTCGGCTCCGGCTCGCCGATGTACTCGATGATCTTCTTGTTGATCCACGGTCGGATCTTCTTTTCCATCAGCACCGCGTCGATCTGTACGAAAGTCTCAATATTATTTTTATAATAAAAGTTTTTATTTCTCTTTCACGCACAATTACATGTCTTAGACTAAATACTTAAACTAAATACACAGTACCAGAGAGCTGAATGTGTGTGCGATACGTATCTGTACTTGGGCTATTATATTTGGGCTATAATAGAGTAATTATCATATACGTTGGGTGAAATGTTGCCGATGGCGAACGGTATGAACTTAATCTTGTCAACAATGAGGATTAGTCTATTGTTTTTGAGCCACGAACACACGTTAAAACCCATTTGTGCGGAGGCATATATATTATCCCAAGTGTCTATAAAAAATCAACGCAGTGTCTGAGGCGAAGGTTGTAACAGTTATTTTTTTTGTACATTTGTAATGCGTACGGTCTTGTTAAAAGCTACATCTATTAGCCGCGTTGCATTGTTGTTGATTTATCTAAGGTAGTTTATAACTACAGTTTTGATCTTCTGTGTTCACTGATGTTAAATGTCAAAGTAAAATGTTGAAGAGGGGTTATTTTCTGGAAGCTTCGTTAACCGAAGATATATAAGTCCGGCTTTCTACCACGAGAGACACTCTGCTATCTCGTGTCTTCCAACCTTAAATAGTGATTTGATTGTCGTGTAATTTGAATTTCGTAATATGTAGTCTGTTTCAATCTACCCACTAAAGTGGTAAGTATTGTCTAAATTCTTCTTAAACCTATTTGTTTCTGGAACCTGATTAATTATATGAGTGCTAATCCATTCGTAGGGTCCCAGATTTCGGGGTCAAGACGGTCAGTCTCAGACGGCGTGCTTGCTCTTTTGTGGCCTTCTGGTACAGACTCAAGTTTCTCGGTACCCTCTGGCAAAGCTGGTGATTGCGTGGCTCACGACGCAAGCGGACAGCCGTACCCAAGAGTTACGTACTTAAACTTATAATTGCAAATTGTTAAACTTTTATCCATATCTAATATAAATAGCCGACTCGGGCGGAAGAGGAAGTAACCTCCTGGAGGGACGACAAGGAGGCACCGAGCACCATCAGCTCGGCTCTAACGCGCTCCGCTGCGGTTTTTTTTTCTTTTTCTTGTACCCACACTGTTTAATTTATTTAATTTCTTATTGTAAATTTGATCTACTTTTTTTGAAATATACATGTATGTATAACTGAGGTGTAAGTTGTTTTCCTCTAAAGAGTCCCATAGGTTTCCCACACGCACACACTTCTATTCTCATACAAGGCGCCCTGAGGTAATCTCTTGAATCTCTCCACTGGGTCAGCCGGTGAGTAGTCCGCCTGAGAAGAAAAGCGGCTACAAGGTCACTATTTTTCCGTTAACAAGTTGAGATTACAAAGATCACTGACATAGGTGAGAAAGAGCGTTGGACCTGGTACAGTGCCCTGGGGCACGCCGAACGCCATATGTGTGTCATCGCTTGTGACTTCATCGACTCTCACTTTATGGTATCTGCCGGTGATATACAACAATGTATATTGTATGCTACTAATACCAAATTTTTCCAGTTTGCCTAATAGGAGTGGGACAGAGACTGTGTAAAAAAGCTTTAATCAAGTCTAGGCATATAGTACTTTTTTCTTTTTGTCTAATTTGTGCACGACATGATTCGTTAATACGTGAATAGCATAATTAGTTGATGTACTCACTCTGTGGCCAAATTGGGATATTTATAAAAGTTTTTTGAGTTCGAGGTAATCAGTTTTTAAAAGTTTCTCTATTAATCTAGAAATTGTGGGAAGAATCGAAATGGAACTTGGCTCTTGACAGGTTCTGTCTCCACTTTTGCAGATAGAGATCACTTCGGCAAGCTTGAATTTCTTTTAATACAACAGTACTCATTAAAAATGTAGGTGAATACAGGTACTAAACTGGTGGTATCGTTTTAAGAAGAATCTAGAGATTTCGTGCCGTCCAGTTGTATTGGCATTCTTTAGGCCCTTTAGTCAGAGATCTACTTTAGTTAATTATAAAACGTCACGCGCCACTCACCCGTCGTATCCGTTGCGTCAAAGTGGGCACTTTGACGCAACGGAATAGTCAAATATAACATGGGCTGAAAAGTCCCGGGCCTAACAAAGAAAACACAGTTTTTTACGTTCAAAATTAGCTTTAATCATCAACGTAATCTCCATCAAGAGCAACGCAATCATTCCAGCGCCGCTCTAACATTTCAATAATACTTTTTTTTTTTTTGTAGACCGATTTATCTTTTGCCTCAAAATAGGCCTCAGTTTCAGCGATAACCTCTTCATTCGTGCGAAATTTCTTACCGGCGAGCATTTTTTTCAAGTCTGCGAACAGCCAATAGTCGCGGGGAGCCAAATCTGGCGAATACGGTGGATGTGGGAGCAATTCGAAGTTCAATTCATGTAGTTTGCCATTGTTTTGATTGACTTGTGACACGGTGCGATGTCTTGATGAAACAAAATGTTTTTCTTTGCCATATGCGGTCGTTTCATTGCAATTTCGGCCTTCAAAGGCTCCAATAACGCTATATAATATTCACTGTTAATGGTATTTCCTTTCTCAAGATAGTCGATGAATATTACACCACGCACATCCCAAGATACCGAGGCCATAACCTTTCCAGCCGATTGTTGTGCTTTCGGGCGCTTTGCACGAGGTTTACCAGTTGCTGTCCACTCAGATGACGATCGTTTTAATTCCGGAGTGAAGTGATGGATCCATGTTTCATCCATTGGCATACATCGACGCAAAAATTCCGGTTTGTTACGTTTAAACATGGCCAAACACTGCTCAGAATCATCAACACGTTCTCGTTTTTGGTCAACAGTGAGTAAACGCGGCACCCACTTTGAACAGAGCTTTCTCATAGTCAAATGCTCATGCAATATAAAGCCAACACGTTCTTTTGATATGTTTAAGATGTCAGCTAACTCACGCAACTTCACTTTTCGATCATTCAAAACGATTTCGTGGATTTTTTTTATGTTTCTCGTGTTATCGCCTCATTTGGACGTCCACTGCGTTCTGCTTCATCGGTGTCTCTACGACCACGTTTGAAGTCAGCAAACCAACGTTTTATTGTTGTTTCTGATGGAGCTTCGCTTGCACGGTATTTTTTCCCATAAAAAACAAATTAAAACACAAAATTGTTTTTGATCCATTGTTTTGAAAATAATAAAAGTATCGTCACTTTAAGCACCGTAACTCACAAACTAATGAGTAGAATATAATGAATTTCTAACAGCTGTCTGTTAGTATTAACTGAAAAAAAGGTGACTGCAATAAAACTAGCGCCATATATGTGTTAGGCCCGGGACTTTGTAGCCCATGTAATACGTTACCTGCGTGGTGTCCAGTTTGTATTGGAAGAGCTGTTCTTTCTGCGTAGGGATCTTGTCGATGAGGCTCTTGATGTGTTTTCGCTTCTCTTCGGCGCTCTTGGCCTCCTTCTCACCGCCACCGGCGTTCGGCGGTGCGGGGGGGCCCGGGGTCGCCGCGTTCGAGTTTTTTTTGCTCTTTTCTTTCTTTTCTTTACCTGAAACGTAGAACGAGCGGTGATAACGTCGCGGTCGGTGCGGGCGGAGCCGGGGAAGGAGCGACGACGTACCGTGGTGGTGGTGCAGCGCCGGGTCGGGCGAGGCGAGCGGTTCGCCGTCCGCGCCGGTGGTGTCGGCGGGGCTCGGCTGCAGCTTGTGCTGCGGGCGGAAGCTGATGCTGATGGACGAGGCGCTCGGCCGGCGCGAGCTCACCCCCCCGCTCGCCCCTCCCGCGGGGGGCGGGGAGAGGGCGGGCGGCGGAGGGGACTCCAGGCCTACGCTCGGGGACGACGGCGAGCGGTGGGACGCGCGTCTGCACAGAGAGATGGGCGCGGTGAGAGGAGCGACTCGGGGGGGGCGGGGGGGGGGGCGGGGGGAGGCGGGCGGTACCTGTGGTGGTGGTGGTGGCGGTGGTGGCGCGGCGGCGGCGGCGTGGTGGAGGGCGGCGGCTCGGGCGCGTCGCTGTCGGAGTCGATGGGCTCGGCCTCGTGCGGCAGCTGCCTCTGCGCGGCGCTGCGCAGGTAGCGCTCCCGCTGGCGCGCGGCCCGCTCGCGCGCCTCGCGCCGCTCGTCCTCGCGCATGCGCGCGCGCGCCGCCTCCCGCTCGCGCTGCTGCTCCAGCTGCAGGCTCACGTCGATGAGCAGGCGCGGCCGGTACTGATCCTCGCGCTCGCGCCGCGCGCGCTCGAAGGCGGCGAGCGCGGCGGGGTCGGCCGGGTCGGTGTCGCGGAAGAAGCTCTGGCGCAGCGCGTCCAGCTCCTCCTGCTCGCGGCCGCGCTCGCGCGTGTCCGACTCCGCCTCGCGCACGCGCAGCCCGAGCCGCCGCTGCAGCTCCTTGCCCCTGCGAACACGGGTGCGCGTACGTGACGCCTATTCAAAATACGAAGACTTCTCAGCTAGTGAACGAAACTACTAAAAATCGTACCCGAAAAATAAATAAATTATTACGTAACGTTTAACGCATTTAAAAACGCGATACTTTCGGTGTACCTATATATGAAATAGCCAAATTCAGAGACAAAACGAAAATATAAAACACCCACTTGTAATACTTGTGATCGTCTCTCTCGTCGTCATAGTCCTCTAAGAACTCCTTGAGCCGCTTGGCCTCTCGCTCGCGCTCCTCCTCGCGACAGCGCTCCCTCTCCTTCTCCTTCTCGTACTCCTTGGCCTTGCGCCGCTCGCGACCCTCCCAGTTGCGCAGGCGCTCCTGGTACGCGGCCTCCTTCTCCCTCGCCTGCGACCGTCGCAAAACTTACACACTTATCTATGAAGGGTAACACGAACTAGCCCCAGGTTTAGACTATTATAATAATCGATTCGAATTCGATAACATATTACATTAAATCAGATTGATCACCGATATCTCGAAATGCGCACACGAAGTTCCATTTGAATAGATGTCAATAAATAAACAGTCATATTTTACTACATGAGCCTTTAAACTACTTATGCTTCTAATGAAATTCATCACTCGATCATATATAATAATAAACATTCAAACAAGTTAGCAACTAATCACTGAGAATTGTTATAATTTAAAGAGTTAGTCACCTTTTTCTCCAATCGTTTCTTCTCCCTCGCCTCTTCTTCTAACTCCTTTTCTCTCCTGGCGTCTACCTCGCTACGACTCCGGCCGCGCGACCGTTCACGTTCGCGCTCTCTCTCACGCTCGCGCTCTCGTGATCGCTCTCTGTCTCGCTCTCGTTCACGTTCTCGCTCACTATAAATAAGATAGTTATATTATAGTAACAGCATCCTGCAGCGGCTTCAGTCAAACTCTGTGAATGATAGCTGGAGCACACAGGTACATAACAAACACGCGTCTCCACAAAGACCTGAAAATTGAGTCTGTCAAGAAGGAAAAAAAAATGCTCAGAAAGATTAAATCGCTATCCGAACCTTTTGGCAAGAGAGAGAGCCAAAGACTACCTTGAGGCTAAAAAGACGTACTACTCAAGACCTGACAGCTCCTCAGAGCTAGCGCCAATTTGGACATTTCACTGGGTACAGCGCCATACACCACGACAACCTTTAAATATATATGTATTTATAGTATAATTATATTCAATGTGCATATGACAAGAAAAAAAAAACTTATGTAGCTAACTTTTCTACTAATATATAACTAGCTATTACTGGTAAACAGTTCCCTACAGAAAATAGTCGACTATGTTCCGTTCATTTTAAGAAAGATGATTTTAACGTCACTGCTAAAAGACGCAACTTAAGTCACTCAAGCACACCCACATTGAAAATATGGAAGTTATGCTCTGAAAATGTAAGTTTCAATACTATCAGTAGTTGAAACATAAAAACAATGTAACAATGTTACAAAGCGGCAGAACATTACCTGTAGTTAAAAAATCTCTGGAATGGTCAAATCCGTTAAATAGATATGAAACATAACGCAAATGATATTTGTTTAAATAGTAATGCAAAAGTACGAGATAATGCTGATTACAATCCACAGGTTGCTAGTTTTAACTTTAATACCTAGATTGTTAACAAAACACTTTCTGAAACGCAACTATAATGCGATCAACAATTTGTTCTTGTTGTGAAATTTCTTCATTTTACGGGTCAATAAACTCATTTCGTAGAGTTGCTGATAAGGACAAGGAATACCTTGCAGTTGATATTATCAGAGTACATAGTTAATTATATAAACAAGTCAATCCAGCAATAGCTAGAGATACTTGTTTATATTATACTGGTTTACTGGTTGTTTTTAAATAAACTTTTATTCATTTTTATTTTTTAATTGTTTCATAAGTTTAGGCTGTAACCTGAATAAATAAAGTATTTTAACTGTTAACAGATACCTTGATTTGAAATAATAGATACCATTATTATGATCATTGATTTTAAATAGCATCACTGTTAAAATATTTAAAAAAATGTTTATATCTATGGTTTTCATTGCTACTTGTAATCCATTTTATTTTAATGTATTTAATAAAATATTGACACCTTCGAAAAAATTCAATCCTTAGCATTGTTTACAGGGATTCTCAAACATCGAAAGAGGTTGTATCGGTGCCACATAATACGTTGGAGTAAAATGCAATGTTATTCTAGTTTATTAAGGTTCATAATAGTTTGTGCCTTAGACATTTCACCGTTGTTTTGCAAGTGTGTGCGAGTTTATATCTATTTGTTTGTATTTTGTGTATGTGTTAAGATGTTGCGACATCGGTTCTGGAAGTAATCGAGCGCTAATTTATTTCTAGTGTCTTATTATTACGATTTCTATGTACGTAATACATAAATTGAGTACTTTTTAGCGGCGACTGGTCGCCACGCCAACAGTCGGTTTGTCTCTGCGCGTTAGATGTTTTATATCAATCGGTGTATACTTCAGAGAGACAGAGCAATCGTATAAATTATTTACTTAATAATGTTTCTTAAGTCGTATGTAATAGCACGGGTCAGGGTATCCTGTAGTGTCGTATACACGTAACAAAAACGACAAATATAATTCGTGTCAAAAGCACATTAAACGAACGTGACATGAGCCTAAAACAGCCACAACCACCCTTCGCTCTGGCCTCACCGATCTGTCCGTCTTAGCTTGTCTTTTCGCAATGCAATTTCTTTACTTATTACATGAACGTAAACCGGCGCCTCGCCAACACACAATACGACACAATGACGGGGGTGAACTGTACCCGGCGTGCGCGCGCAGCTCCTTCTGTATCTCGTAGCGCGTACGTATGTACGGGTGCAGGGTCAGCGTGACGACGCTGCACGAGCACGTGTCCATCACTGTTAGACACTATCACAACCACGCGCCACGACCCGCGCGCGCTACGTCTTGTTCCAGCGAGTTGCAAGTGCGGCGGCGATAGCGGGCCGTTATCGCGCGCGCTGCCGATAACCGCGCCAATTCCTCCGATGGATTTTTACTATTAGTTATTGTTACACACCGGCAATTGTAAGTGATTTTCCGTATAAGACGAAGTTATGAAATCTTACATTGACTTTAACCTTCGTATACTGCGAGTGAACAGTTTTTTTTAACACGAGTGAAACATGTGGAGCCTTCTATTCGACCTCCGTTTCGTTCTTACGAAGATAATTATAGTTTCAAAATAGTTTAGTTTTAGTGTTTTGTGTATGGAGTTATTAATTTTATTATCATTATGATATGACTCCCCAAGACGAGCCAAGCGAAGCGCAAGGGCACTACCAGCCTTTTCTCTACGCGCTTCTTCCTTTTTTTTAAAGCCTCCTAAGTTGAGTTTTGATTATACCAGATAAACCAACATTCTCGGGATATAATGTCAATAGTGGACAACTTAAGTTTCAATTGCATATTTCTTATACTTTAGATTTTATTGATATCTAAAAAAAACCCTTTTCGTCACTGACTCACTGATGATCATCAAAATTCTTAGAGTACTTCCTCAAGTCCTAAATTTGAAATTTGGTATGGAAGCTACTATAGTAGCTATTAGCACACCAAAACAACAGAAAAACTCTAAAACTTGGTACTTGTACCTTGAACTTGTACTTGAACTTGGAACCTTCTATACTAAGGGATGGAGGTTTGAATGAGACTTTTGCAAATTTTGATGCTGGAGGTCTGAAGATTGATATAATAGGGACTCCTTGTCTATACTCTATACAAATAAATTAAATTGAAGTGTCTGTGTCCCCCCCCCCCTTAGCCCTACTCTTTAAATTGGGGATGGAATTAAGCGCACGTAATACGCCGATTCTGCGATACAATAGTTCTTGTAGTAACGAAACGGCCAAGCTACATATTTTGACTAAGGTGTAGAGTTTGTCAAGTTAGGGCGTGTACAGTTAGAGGGTTGGCTCTACGTGAGATCTGATGGTGCGAGCCATATGATCCCGTCTTGGTTGCATCAGCTGACTGGTACGGCTGCATCGTCAGACACATCGGCGCTGCTACAAAACGAACATTATCTTTTATACAAATACATAAAAGATTCTCACCGTTCACGTTCTCGTTCCCTCTCCCTTTCGCGTATCTCTCGTTCACGCTCGCGCTCGCGCTGTTCCCTGGAACAGGAAATAAATGATACAGCTTTACAACAAGAACACAATTCTAAAAGATTTGTTAGGGAGATGATGAACACAACAACAATTGTGTTTAAGCAAGACAACAATGGTCCGAAGTGATCACAACATAATATTTAACGGTTTATTGGCATTGGCATAGTCAACTGTATGTTACCTCTCTCGTTCCCTCTCCCGCTCGCGCTCACGTTCTCTGTCCCGCTCCCTCTCCTCGCGTTCTCTCTCCCGCTCCTTATCGCGATCCTCGCGCCGGTCCTTGCCCCTGCACACACGAGCATACGTCAACATGTAATCTACTTACTGGTTGTTCTACTGGGAGACTGCTAACTAACAATCAATTTAGCATTTGTTGCGGCCGTCCAAGTTGATAATAATAACGTATTGCTTTATGGCATAGCGGCACTAATCGAAGTTTCCAGAAAAAGATTGCACATTCCAGAATGCTCCAAGATGTTCTAAAAATGTTAGTAACCAGTCACCAGTACCCAGATTGTGGATTGAGATGTAGATCGGGAAACTTTCTATAAAAGGGGGCCGCATTCTAGTTCAGCCCTACAGTGTAAGTATATTTTTTATAGTATAAGGGTAATAAGTATTAAGCACGCAGACGGGTCACTTGATCGTAGGTGGCTGCCGCCAATGGAGGATTGGCTCGAGAGGCGTCACGGGACCCTCTCATACCGGCTGACGCAGGTGATCACCGGGAAAGGATGCTTCGGGAGTCACCTGTGTCTTATCCGCAAGGAGCCAATGCCTGGACGCGGCGCTTCACACGCTGGCAGAATGCCCGGAGTGGGTTCAGAAGAGACGTAACCTCGTGGCGGCCGTCGGAGTGGGAATTCCCTCGCTTAGTACCATGTTTGTGGCCATGGTACGGAGCGAGAGCGCGTGGAACTCTGCCGTCTCCTTCTGTCAGCAAGTCATGTTTGCGAAGGAGACCGGGAGAGATTTAGAACTCTTCCGGTCCGCCAGGCCCGGAAACGGGCCAGGTACCACAGACGAATCAAGCGCCGGAAGTCACAGTACGACCTCCGTCCTTCAAAGGTGCAGGCCTGGGGGTGACGGGTGGGGCCATAGATCACCCTGGCAGAAGCAGGCCGTTTAGTTTATAGAACGGCATGTAGATTAGATAGTAGGGGGTAATCCACATGCCGTAGATGGCCCGGGGTACGTCGCCGGCTACTTGTACCCGAGACGGCGTGCGATTTTTAGTCGGTTCGTGTCCGACATAACCACCGGTGGGTGGTATCCGAGGGGATTTCCGCACGGAAAATAAAGTGGCTACCGCTGTACACACGACCTCTAAAGACAAATACGTTAAGGCCCTTTGAGTGAGCTACTCGAGCCCTTTTTTAAAGGCAAAATATTTTCTTGAAGAATAACAGAAAAAGTAGAAGAAATGATGGTTACCTGGAGACGCTACGCCGCCGACGGTCCTTCTCCCGCTCCCGCTCCCTGTCCTTGTCTCTGTCTCTTTCACGCTCCCGGTCGCGCTCCTTATCTCTGTCTCTGTCGCGTGAGGGCGCGCGGTCCTTGTCGCGGTCGCGCGCGCTGTCCGGCCGGCTATTGTCGTCCTTGTCGCGCTTGCGGCGCACGACGACGTCGGCCTCCTCCTGTGTTCAAACGGGGCTCTCAGCGCGGTACTGGCACCGCGCGTCGCACGCCCTCCGACTCGCGTACCGACACATCCGACCACTCGTATCGTTTTTAGTTCATATGTGCTACAGAGCCACTCTGTCAGTATCGCAGGTGAACAAGCCGACGACATGCCACTTTCACCGATTTGTATGTTTGTTGTGGTGAACGGCAACTTGTATACCTACTATGTAATCATGTAAAGTTCTCGGCATTGATATCAAACACAACTATGGAGCACATTGCTCTCCAAAGTGATGTAAATTCAATAGCAACGACAAATCAGCAAGCAATGTACAGCGTAATGAAATATAACAACCGTTCTTGTGAAGCCTCAATTCTCCTCCAATCAACCGACACTGATTTTGTCAACTTTATTCGCCTGGGATTACACAATCTCAAATAATAATCGCTCTCCGTGTTGTTCTAATAGTGATTACATGAAAAAAATAGAATATTCTTAGACCTTTGATACTGATTAGGCTCGAATAATATTTTCAAAGACCTGAAACCGACTAAACTTTGGAAACGTGTGGAACTCACTAAGTCAGACCGATCAAGAGGTCACGTTAAGTGTTAAATCTTGTGTAAAATATGAAATGAACGAACGGTGTCAGTTACTTACAGTAGGTACTGTGTGTAAAGTTCCAATGTTGACAGTATTACGGAATATGTATTTACTAGAAGTACCATATAATATATATACAAGTAGACACCACAACATTGAGGGAGTCTCACAGATCTAAAAATCTCTGTTCTCTTCGTATAGCCACTATGAGAAATGGTAAGCGATTTCATTCAAAATTTCTATAGAACAGAGTGATTGTCAATAACACCGGTGTTGCCAGAATACATATTTTAAAAACATATCTCTATGATAGAAAATTGATATTTAACAACTAAAATAAGATCGTCTAGATTAAGTCTATATGAAAGTGATTAGAGTTATGTATTTATGTACTTATTTAAACGAAGCCGCCTTGGTTAAGTCACTACGCAAACAAACGCCTTTCAAAACTAAATATTTAGAATACAATCAGAATGTCGTTACATCCAAATCGAAAATATAGTTTCTTTCGTAGAGCACATAAAGGTTAAATGTATAAATTAATAAACGACTTTTATACAGACTACCCTCGATTCAGTTTGACTTCTTTTGCCATCGTTTGTTGAATATCATTTTACAATTTAACTAACTAGCACTTATATATTGGCGGCAGCTTCATTTGGAAGCACTAAATGTTGAAACAAAGTTGTTAACGATCATGATTATTACTTTGCAACTTCTATGAATAAATATTTTTTGGTTTCTAGCAACACCTTACGCGATCTACTAAAATCTAGCAACACCAATCGCAATATAATGATATACATATATGTGGCGGTGTGTGTAGGCGAGTTGCGGACGCGTCAGCGACGCGCGCTGTGGGAGCGCACTACGTGCTGTCGACGGAACACCGACGAGTACGCACACAATATATTATGTAATAAAATAAACGAACGTCTACGACAAGTCAGTGGCCACGCGAGTATTCTCCGAGACAGATGAAATAACGAGAGAAGGAAGAGTAGGAGTGGCACAGTGAGTGGTCGTAAAGAGTCGTCAGGTGGTAAGTCAACCAAGTAGATATTTCATACGATTGACGGCGGACGGACGCTTGTGGCGAGTTATCACGAGTACTAGCTAGTGGCCGCGCCGGCGCCTCGCTCTGCGACCCGCATCTGAAAATCGCCACCTACTCACCACGCGCACCAACACTATACGTCACACTCCTCGCACACGCGCACGCACTCGGCCACGAGCGCCGCAATGAGCCGCACCGACCCTGCGCTGTATGTATCTCTGTCGTAGTGGCGATTACAACCGAACCGCCACGAAATCGATATTATTTAATTAAACCGTTTAAAGGTATTTTTGAAACGTCAGGAGTCATCGGAAAGCCAGTCTCGACTCCTGCCGCTTGATCCGAAACGTAGATCCTTTTTTTTTAAGTGGTCAGTTACATTCCTAATAAGGGCAATTAAAATTTGAGGACAATGTAATAATATATAATTATGTATTGGCACAAAATATAGTCGCACTTAATGAGTATTATATTAACTAAATAGCAGTCCGGAGACGACCGGCCCCGACCGGTGGTCCCCGACTCGAGGCATCCGTACGAGTCGAGCTGACATACGCCACCTCAAAAACTGACGAAACGTACACAGATGCTAGGGTTATATGTCGAATGAATTCTTTCGCTACGGCTGCAACTCTACTGAATGTACATTACAGCTGCGACTTGCCGCGGTTCCGAGGCTCCCGTACGGTCGCGATCTACAAAGTAGATAGATACATACTATAGGTAGAATCAAATACATGACGGCAAACGCGGACTTTATTTGTTTAGGAGGGCAAACGAGGAGACGGGCCATCCGACGGTAAATGACTACCGCCACCCATAGACACCTACAATTCAAGAGCCTCGAGTGCGTCGCAGACCGGTTCGGGCTCTGGTATCCTAGAATCGCTTAACACTGGTTTTCTGCGAGGCCGCGGGACGACTCCACGACGCGACACGACGGCCCGTTAGTGCCGCAGCGTGGCCCCGATGAGCGGTGAAGTCGAATAAGTTTGTCGTCGTTCGCGCGTCGCACGCTTCGTTAGAAGGGTGGTACAGTTCGAGTGGGCTCATTGCAGTGTTCGTGCGGCAGTCACTCCTCGCTCGCACTGGGCGTTCCCTCGGGCGCTACTTACGGGCGGCGGCGGCGGCGGCTGCGGCGGCGGGCGGCTGCGCTGCGGCGCTCCCGCGATGCGACGCTCGGCCCTACGGCGCCACCCGACAACGCACACGCGACTCCACCGCGGCTACGAACCTTCACGAGGGGCGCTCGACACTACGTTCCGTTTAATATTTCGTCGCGTTCGTTTAAGGGTTTACGTAGTAAATCTAGACGGTTCGTTCGGAAACTCCATCGATTATTATTTTCACTCGGTATAAATATAGTTTCTCCGATCGACGGGCGATCGTCGAGCACCCCACGCGTACGCGACGTCTAACAGTTAGCGAGTGTGCGTTGTCCGGCGCGGGTCGCTCGCCCACAACTCACGAATGTGGGCTCGCGACCGGCGGCCGTCGTCTCGGAGCGGCTCCCTCCGCCGCTCCGGTCGGACGGGACCCGCTACTTATTCGCTAAATTATATTGTTACCATTTTAGAAAAAAAAACCCTGTGCCGATGGCCCAGTGAGTCCGCTCGCTCTGCAAGGCAGAAGTTGTCACATTCAAACTCGAGGCACGCCTGTGAAATTTAGCGAATCGATAACAAGACTAAATTAATAAAAGACGTTAAGAGAATCCCGGCGTGCCTCGAGCTCGTTGCCGCGAAAACCGAACGCGCCAAATTTACCCACGCGGTGAAGCTTGGCCCACTTCGTGCCTGGCGTTATAGGCAGACATTCTGATAGACAAAAACTAATCCTCGTTAGGGCGCGACTAGTCGAAACGAGTCCTAATCTTGTCCGACATGCATGCAAACATGGACAACACCAGAGTAGGGACGACAGTTACTGTGTCGAATTTAACACTACTTCTTGGTGTGCTCTTCGTATCGCATTACATTCATTTATAGTTTACTGAATATTATTATTTTAACAAAGAAACCAAAAAAATATTTTGTTTTCTGAACTATGTCATTATCGCAGTACTGAGTCTTGTCTCTGTGCGCATTACTTTTTTTGTGTACTGTTGGAAAACAGATGGACGATAAAGGCGTATACAGGTGCCCTTGAAAATGGGACACTGGCTTCAAACACCACAGTACTTGTCTTTGGCATAATTTTAAAAATAACTAAAAAAAATACGTTTAATAGCTATGACTATTTTAATTTTCAGATATTATCGCTATTGTTTCTCATAAAAATAGGTAAAATTTGTGAGGTTAACATTGTAAACGGTAAGAAATTTTTAATTTTGGAATTATTCATGAGAAAATAGTAAAAACGAATTTAAAAACAATAATTCCAAAGAAGAACATATACAAATTTCAAATCTTTAACGTAAAACGTTCCATCTGCGTTTATGATAATCAGAGCTGATACTATCTGAAAATTGAAACGGTCATTACTTTTAAACGCAGTTTATGTTTTAATTATGTTTTTGTACACGCATGCCAGAGTTACGTCGTTCGAGCGATTTTAATAAGTGTTCCACTTATTACTCGATATAAAGTAATAACAGTAAGCTTGTCGTCCCCACTCTGCTTAGATCACGTGTAACGATCGAAAGTACGATCGACAGGTGAATGACAACCGAAATGAGAATATGCTCTCGATATGTAGGGTATTTGTTTGTACTGTGCTGACCGTGTGTTGGGTTTTGAGTTAGTGTGGTTAGGTGGTGTGGGTATGTATGGTTTTAGGTCTCCGTTTGAGCGTATGTGTGTGCGTTTGAGCGTGTGTGTGTGTGTGTGTGTGTGTTTGTGTATACATATAGTAAATTTTTGCAAGTTTTTCTTTGTTTATAATCTTAATAGCAGTTGGGTTGGAGTCGTTATACTTTGAATGCAATTTAATTTAAAATATTTAGTTTTTGATTATATTTGCTCTGAACCAGTGAATGTTGAAAGCTGACCAAGTGACAGTTACGTGAACTCGTGTGAGGTGTGTTGAGGTGTGTTGTGGTGTCAGTAGGCAGTAGGCAGTAGGTAGTGGTGTGCCGTCATATAACGATGTATGGTGGGTGACTCACCGTGGTTGGCGCTACGACGCTCAGTGGGACTCATTCAGCGGCACCTACCATCGCGACCAATGCAGAATACAACAATTATGTATAAGCAACGCTTTATCACAACAGACAGACACCGAACCCCTATTCTATTGTCTATGCTCAAGGTTGTGCCTACTAGTCCTACCCCGGATTGCATTTCGATGTAGAGCATTTGTATCGCAGTCCATGTTATACTTGTACCAAATACAATAATCACCCACACCTCTTTCTTACAGTGTATGGAAACGTCGACGTTGGGCGACATGCCTCATTGTTGCTTTATAATAATCAGTGAAGTGCCGCATTCCCGTGTTCGTGTGCACAAATATACTGAGGACCTAAGTTTATTTCACGTCACCTCGATCGTCACGGGGACCGCGCTCGGCGTTATGATTAGTGAAGAGTTTGGTTCGGATCAATTTCGGTTATACGTATACGGATAAAATGGAGACGGCTCCACGGATATACATTCATAATGATGTGACACAGCAGTTGCGAGTTCCAGTCAAATTATTAATTTACACTCTATAATGTTCGCGTTGTGCATTTTGTAAAATCATATGTCATAATCATATGCAAATTGTACCTCTTCGTTGACGGGGGTTAATCACACCGTTATATTTTATTAAATCGTATTATTATTATTGAGACTAATAAAATTAAGTAATTCAGTATGTTCTTTTCTAACGGTTTAAATAACTCAGGAGTTGCAAATACATTATTGATAATGACACTCAAATGTAAATGGTGAACGGACGGTGGACAGTTCAGTTCGTCGCACACGCTTCACAAGATCGTGTGCACTTGAGACGGTCCGTTTTTGCACTACTTTGAGCTGAATTACGTAAACACAGACATATAATTCCACAAAATATTTGTGCGGCGCGGGCAAAGCACTACATGTGTCAATAGAGTTGTGAAGAAAGAGATATGGTTACATTACATATTTACGTAGTTACACAACCAAACTGTATACAAATCACTCAACGTCGGTCTAGCACGAGCCTCATATTGAACACAGGCTCAATATTTACTGAACTAAGTAAATGTTGACAATCACATTTACCAAACAGTGTACAATACTATGCCTACTTATTCACAAATAGACAGTACAGCATTGAAATGTCGGGACTCCAGTGTATGGAGCCCCGGATCCATACACTTCCTTATTATAAACAAAACTTCACAATTTATGTATTTGTAATAAAGCGATGCTGTGACAAAAACCCCTCAATATTTTAACCTAAAGAAATAGCTCGGATGTCTGCACGGCTTGCCGGACATTAAACAGTAGAGTGTGGATGTAAAGGGGGGGGATGAGGAGGGAGAGGGACCGCCGCAGGGTTGTGAGGCCTCACCTTCATGCTCTCGCGGAACTTGCCGATTTCGCGGTGGATGACGTCACGCTTCTCCTCCGAGATGTCAGCCTCCTCCAGGACGCGCGCTGTCTTGGAGATGGCCTCCTCTGCACACACACAGCACACAACGCACACATTTATCACATGTCAAAACCGAACAGGAGGAGAAAACGTTACAATAAGACCTATGTTTTTAACATTTTGGACGAACGTGGCGACGAAAGGCAAATGTGTTGCACATCTGAAGGAACATGCTCTCGTTCAAAAAAACAGAATCATACAAAGTAGAGCAGTGTGATCTAAAGATTTCGTTACATGAATTTTTCTTCAAATTTGTTGATGAAATCAGTTTCAGTCTGAAAAACCCGTGAACTGAGGTAAATGGTATAAAAAATATAAGTAAATCAGTCAATGATAAAATCTTTCCATTTTTTAAATTAAAAGTAATATTATATAATAATATAATAATATTTATATAATGTAGTTCTCACCACACCATGTAAAGGTAACTGATTTACATATTATTGGCAACGTTATATTATGTAATCATATTATATATTATTAGTGGAAGATTTTCCTCTCACACAAGGGGTGAACAGGGGTGGTGACACTCCGTATTGTTAATCCATCACCACACGGATATACATTAAGTATTCGAAATATGTGATAGTTCCGTGGGCCATGAGAGACAGATGAGACAGTGCGAAGGAGCTACCTTTCTGCAGGATCTCGTAGTTGTTGATGTCGTCCTGGTAGTCGCGCATGATCTGGGCCAGGCGGCGCTCGGCGCTGTCGTCGAGCCCCCTCTGTCGCGCGTCCAGGTACTCGCCCTCCCCCTCCGTGCCCGGCGCGCCCTCCTCCGCCCCCAGCCGCGAGCGCTGCTCCGCTGAAAGTGCGAGCGCCGGTTAGACTTCCAGTCGCCTCGACGGTCGCTCAGTCGGCACTAAACGTTAAACGCTCACTTTTGTATGTGTCGACGAGGGCCTGCATTTTGCCATCGGTTCTCGCCAGAAGCTGCTTGTCTGCGACCGGTCGGTTGTTGAGCAGCCTCACGCAACGCAGCGCCGCCTCGGGGTTCGCGAACTCGCTGAAGCCGAATGTGGACACGCGCTTCCACGAGAGCACCGGCCCGCACGCGTTCAGAAGAGACCGAATCATCGCATCGGGCGCTCGCGACGATATGTTACCTGAAAATTTTACCAATCGCCTTATAATATATTTTCTCTGTGTTAAAGACGTGTACGATCAAATGTCTAAAGAAATAAACCCACTTAAAAAGTTGAAATGTGCCTTTGGCTCTAAAATCTTTAATGATTTTTATACCACATTTATAGATTTAATAAATATACTGAACTGGTCTGTTTCTCTGCCATCGATGGTGTACATTCCAGTCCCATTTTTGATTTATATGATCATTGATTTGGACCCTTACCTATAAACACCGTAATAGGTGGCCCTTCACTCTCCTTGGCGCCGTTTGTATTCCTAGTAGGGGGTCGGGCGATGACCGCCTTGCCCTGTGCGGGGGGGGCGGGAAGCAGCGCCCCACGGGCTGCTCCGCTCGCCACCCCTCCCGCGCCGTATGCGCCTACCATTACCTGCGCAATCACAATTTATAAATTTCGAGTCAATGCTCAAGAAAACAGTTTTACTTACACTAAAAACACTTGAAGCAAATTCTATCAATCTTAGATTTAAAATATAAACAATTTAAAATACATTTTAAAGGTACTCTTTATAATGCATTGTATTATATCCCTCAAACACAAAGGGATGATCCTCCAAGTAGGTCACCTAGCGGACCGCAGCTCAACAGTTGATGTTGGTAAGTCATATTGCAATTCAGGATTTGCAGTCAACCTGTAGTTGGTGTGTCCTCATTAGATGGCACTGAAGTACGAGTATGTGTTTTTTTCATTTTATGTGGATGTTTCTGCAGCACCCTTATTACCAAGTAGATAGAAAAAAAGATACAGTTTTCCACATACACTGCAAAAATGTATAATTTATTATATCATCTTGGTTGGCACCTCCCTAACTGCCTCACTCAGCCAGTATCAGCCAGTATCGGAATCTTTGGATCCATAGACGTATTGAGGGTATTAAAGTTTGTGGTCACTTAGAGGGTAAGGCCAAATTAGCTTGGAGCTTGGTGTGCTAAACAGATCGAGGCAATATTTCACTCCACCATAACAGCACTTAATACTTTAATAATTTTGAACAATCTTTTCATTCTATTGCTCAGATGCAACTTACAGCATTGCAAGTTAACAGTGTTGCTGATTTTATCAAAATCAAACATTGACAGCAGAAAAATATTTTTCATATAAATTTTATTTCTGATATGAATGTTCTATCTCGTTGAATTGCAAATTAATTTAATTTGTTGAATTGCAACTTAATTTAATCGCCATGTCAGTCATATGTGTCTGACGCTAAGAAGTTCTACATGAGCCATGTCAGACATATGTCTGACGTACGCGATTTGGTAGAAGGCCACGTCAATCACAGATGTCAGACACAAACGATACATTTGTATTATATTTCGGAAGCATGGCCTGTCAGGAACAAAACTTGAAAATTTCTTGGCTTACTACAAACAATAAAATAGTTTTAATATAGGCCCATGTCAATCATATATGTGTGACATAAAAAATTGTGTTTTCTGGGAATTTTGGCAATTTTTTTTTTTCTGTGATACATTAACATTTCCTTGATACATTTTTAACTAAATTATCTAATAAAGTTACCATGGCCCATGTTAAAAAAATTCGGATATTATTGTGGCGAAGGACGTGTTAAAATATATTATTATCTTTAGTATTGTTATATTATATATTTTTTTTAAAACAATTTGATACTATTTAACAATATTTTTATATTGTGTTCCTAAGAATGGTTCTATTTAGTTATTTTATTCAAGTGTAATAAAAGTAACTATAGATTTATCAAAAACGATGCACATATTTTGGATCATTTTTTATTATATTCATTAGATACCAATCACATCAAAAACCAATTAAGCAAAAAGAATCCAAACAGCTCAGATCATTTTGTGATTTGACACTGCATTCTTTAACAATATATCATATTATTAATTAAAAGCAACGCAAGCAAGCAATGCTGGTGGATTGGATTCTTTCTTTTTAAGTTATAAACTGTTGACCAGTTTTAATATTAGAATGGTTTTTGCAGAATCAAAATAAACACCTGTCATAGATGTGGGCGGTACCCCATAGTAATAAAAAGATCAAAATAACAATTTTTTTGACCTGGGTATTTTTAGTAAAAAGTTTTTACTACTCTAAAATAGGTACAGACCTTACTGACTACTTTGACATACTCAGATCATTTTCAACCTTACTGTGGGTTGGATCCTTTTTGCCTATCTACATCCAAATATTTCATTGACATGTTACAATGATTGCCTAAACGCCTACTGTGGAGGATAATCATATTGAGTAATAAACTTGAAGTTGTTTTGACACTTTTTGTTACAATACTGGCTTGGGAACATTACATTATCTATGTACAAGTTTTTAGTTCATTAATAAATACCTACATCATTTTATATTGTGACACACAAGAGTAACACACAAAACACAACTTGCTATATAAATGTTCATGACACACTAGAGTAATTAAGGTTTTTAAAGGTGAAGGGACTTCAAAAGAGGGGTAACTGTGTTAGTTAACTTTGCTGGCAAAGTTATGGCCACAGATAGTTGGATTGGGGTGTCACAAAGAGGGTCAAATAAAAACGTAGAGAGTGACCGGGTTTAAACCAGCAATCTCTTATTTACAAGTCCAATGTCAATGGGTTACGGTTGAGAATTAGACTGTCAGGGGTCATGTGTCTTGTTATTTTTACTACATACCTCATTTGTATGTGTTTACAAATATATGTCATCTGGTCACCTGCTTAAGGTCTTGGGTAAACTAATATAATGATAATGCCTGCAGTATGAGGCCGACAAAATAATACTTCCGGTTGTTCACTGACTAGGCAATTGCAATAAGCCTAACCAGCATCTCTGTGGGCTAAACAGAGAGGTTAGATCCCAAGACTTACGTGTGTAGGCATCGGCATAGTGACCACACCCGGTGCGATTCCATACGGCACAAGTGGCGGCCGAGGCGGGTACGACATGTTACCGTTCCTAGCCCACACTTGGACTCACCACCTTTAATCCTAAACGAGCAACGCCAGCTTGAGCTTTGACAATAACCACCAGCAAGACCACAACCGGTGACGCGTACCCACTCAATAATCACTTCACTTACACAAATTTAACTACTAATTTCACTAAATAAACTATTTATTACATTAATAACAATATTACTACTATAATACGTAGATTTCACTGGTGAAACGGTAATTATTACAACATCGTTCACCAACATGGCCTGTTTGTCACTTTGTCGGCCATATTGTTTTACTGCTCTGTGGTGTTGTACTGTTGTGTTGCCTTTTAAAAAAACATTTTAAAACTTACTAATAAACTGATGATAACTCCTAAAACAAAAGACGTCGCAATAAAGAGGATTCAAACTGCCTCTAATCAATCAAAAACTATTCACATTAGTTACGATCGTATGCTTAATTAGATAAAAAAAAATTGCAGTCGTGAGACGTCTGGCGGATTAAAACATCAAAATTATTTTCTAGAAATTAATACATAAAAGGATAAGTAGGAAATAATAAATCTTAATATAATATCATAATTATTTTAGTTACCTATAAGAGATTGACTATGAGTGATAAGGCCGCCACTTACACCTATGTCATTTAGTATTAAATTATTTTTTGTAGTTACCTGGTATACAATAAAGATATTTATTATTACTATTATTTTCTTTATTTCATTAAACATACGTATAAATTACATTTTTAAATATATTTACGTGTTAATGGTGATGATGATGATTAAAAAATATATAAATAAATTATGTCCCATCGGATACAGGGACAAAAACTGCTTTCTGCATTAGGCCCTTAATCCAGCTGCCTAACGCGAGTCTCTAAAGATGTTACTCAAAGTTCTTAGCAATTAATCCATGGGCCGATATGACTATCGGTACAATGATGGCCAAATACACATCCCACATGTTGACAATCTCGTGACCCAAATTCAAATACTTGTTTATATTTTTAACTTTCAAGAGATTGTCGTCATGTGGAATGGTCATGTCAACAATAATTGCTCAGCGCTCTAATAGGTCCATTAGCACTATATCAGGTTTATTGGCTACAATAGTCCTGTCAGTGATAATAGGCGATCCCAGTACAACGTTGCACGACCATTTACAAGAACTGTGTCGGGCACATATTTGTAGAATGATAACTCTACAGACACAAGATTAACTTGAGAGCAAGTTGCTGATGCACTATCCTGGCCACTTGGTTTTATAACATATACAGGGTATCTAGCTGAGTTTGAGACCAGTAGGTTAGAACTGGTGTTACCTAATTATTAGAGACCCTTATCTTATTACTAGCTGGTAAAAGACTATTTAATACTTTCGTCAGGCGTCTAAAGAACCGTTTCTGTGACGAATGTTTAATAGTCAACTCATTCACCTACACCTAACGCCTGTGACATACCCAAATATTTGTAAGTTTCGTTAGCTGAGAGACATCTAAAGTGCATGCAATCTAAGAGTTCCCATCCCATCAGATACCACAACCTTGCCTCTTTTTACATGCTCCATTGCGCACTTATCTACATAAATTCCATCCTGATACATTCACTGAGGGTTTTAGATATTCCTAGTTTTTTCAGTATGGAATTACTGGAAGCAAACAGTTTTAAATCATCCATGTAAAGGAGGTGGGATATAGACTTACCACCTCTCCGCAAACAATAACCTAGCCCTGCATCCTCCAACATAGTTCTGAGAGGGTTCAAAGCCAAGCAAAACCACAAGGAACTCAAACTGTATTCGTCTATATATTCGTCATCGCCTTGAGATTGCTTACATCCTGGATAGCAAAGAACCGTTCTCGATTGCGGCATACATGTATCCAGAAAAGTGCATAGAGTTGTATCAATCTTGTAAAACTCCATCACCCTTAAGAGCCACGTATCTATCCAACTCGTCGCCAGATCTTTTCAGTTACGGCAAACTTGTTGATTAATAGTCATCTCCACATCCATTCTGAGAGTGAGATATAGTAGTTGTTCGTAATGTTATCTTCACTCTCAGAATAGACGTTAGTAATTTATATAATATCGGGAGACACGTTATTGGTCTATAATTTTTGGGATCCAAAGTTATAAAGCAGATAACTTACTCCCGCATTCATGAAAGATGGAAGTGAACCTGATTCTAGACATGATTGAAAATGAGATGCCAAACGAAAGGAGCCACTTTAAACAATAGTTATACAGTCCGTCCGGTCCTGTTGACTTCCAATTTGGTAGCGTACGAAATGTCTGAAATTGATACTGGCTCCATTGTATTGATTGACTCACACGATCGTTCGACATCTTGCATCTATTCACCCTCTGTGTAAGTGATAGGCATCGACCATATGTTACCCCAAAATGTATTGGTTATTTTAACATCTGGGAAATGTCCACCACTCACTAAATCAGGCTGCTCCCTCCTTTTATAAGCCCAGACCTCGTCCCTTTGGAATATGCAATTTTGAATATATCGGTTCACTCTCTTTTTATACTGTTGCGCCATAGGATTAAATGGTTCTTGTATTGTGTAGTTAGTTCGTGAACAATCAAGAGTGAATAGGCCGTTAAGGGACTTTAAATAAATATGGACTGTATTAAATATTATATTTGTATATTGGTAAAACGATATACAGAAATGCCCGTAGCGGAACGGTGGTATCCGAGGGGATTTCCGCACGAAAAAAAAAGAAAAAAGGGCTCTCCCCTGCCGACGTACACGTGTTGGTGACGTCCGCGGGGAGAAAAACCCGTCACTTGAAAACAGTCGGGCTCGACGCCTCTGTAATCGCCGAGACTTGTTTTGTGGCTTTCGGAGACTGCAAGACGGAACGAAGCGACAAGTCCAGTGGCGGAAAAGGTGCTCTGCTGGCTCTAGCTCTTGTAATCATCAAACAGTAAAATTTTCAAAATAAAAATCTTGCTGTTTTCTTGACATAACATTAAATGTAGTCTTCTTACGTGTATGTTTGATTCAAAAAGTAGTTTTCATCAAGTAGATTATTTCATCAAGTGATATTGCAGTTTTTTATACATATATACATGGAAAACGAGACCCAATGTAGGTGAATAAATGTTATCCCAAAGTTTCGTGTCGTTGCTAGCGAAATATCGGAAAACCCTGGAGGCGCCGAAGCTGTGTGTGTCGGCCGGGAGATCGGCTGCGACATCAGCAGTGGTGATCAGTGCTTCCACAGTGATTGAGCGTTAAAGTGTGTGTGCGGAAAAGTTATGTTAAAATAAAATTGATAACAGTGGGAAGAAAAATTCATATTTCAAACGTTCCCTGACCTCGCCAATGCTCGGTTGGCGCCATCTCTGTTTGCGTTATCGGTTTGTGTTCGTCAATCGATTGTTGCTTTGTTGTGGTCCTGCATAATATTGCACTGCTGGTGCCACTTCGTCGAGTGTCTGGAAGAATTCTTGTACCGGCGGCTTTCCACAGAGGGCGACACTTGTAATTTGTATACTAGTAATCATGCTTACTATTCAATTCACTTATTTTTTTCCTTTTTTACCCCTATCTACCCTTTTGTAGATGGTGAGAATCATAATTGTTACTGTAAATTATTATTAATTAATGCCACCCTAATTTTGTAGAAACTTGTTGTTGATATTGATTTATGTTACTCATTTCATTTAACCATAAGAATATATATATAATTTATTACTGCAAATTTTCATAATATTATTGGTTTAGTTTCATAAAATGGTTTCATAATATTACACATATTATTGGTTTAGAAACTTTACTTTCTATGCTATAACATGATTACCTCTGTACTTTGCCTTGTATAAATACGTTTATAAATTGACTACTTTAAAGCTACTTTTTTGATTTTTAAGAATGTTTTGACATTGTTTTAACTGGGTTTTTGTTTTTAATGTGTTTTCTTTTATATATATATATTATATACGTGTGTGTTTTGTCGGCATCATTAACATGAGCTCATTATTATCACAATCGACATGCCCCCACTGCCAGGGGTCTGCGCGCATCTTTAGTTCACGCGGCCTCAAAATACATATTGCACGAATACATGGACACCAACCACGCACGAGCCCTACGGACGTGCAACAGGACACGTCTTCTATTGATGTCGGCCAACGGCCGCGCCCGGGGGTGGTGCCCCAGCATCGGTGCCCTTGCCACTTGCAAAAGTAGCATTCCGGTGATGCGGCACATTCCTAAGGCTGCACGTAACCTAGCCGCGGCCAAATTAAGCAGCATAATAGATGGATGCGTGGACGGTAATGGTGTAGAGGACTGGTTCGCGCTTCTTTCTTTTGCCTTTAGCGCATCGAGGGTGCCGTCTAAGTCTCTGCCGGGTAATATGACGTCTAAGGTAAAGGCGAATATCAACTCCTCGGGCTTTTACCAGTTTGAAGATGAGTGTGACGGCGCGCCAACGAATCGCAGGTCGTGTTCAATACAAAAAAACTATTGAAAATAAGGTATTTGAGGGAGACCTAAGGGGAGCCGTCCGCCTGTTGATGTCGAACGACAAATTTGCTCAGGGGGGTTCTGAGACAATGGCTGCCTTGAAGCTTAAGCACGCCGGCCCGTCGCGCCCACTGAACCCCCCGCCAGCGCCGGATGCGTCATGCGCATTCGTTACCGCTACACCAGAGGATGTAGCTCAGGCGCTAAACTCTTTTTATAGTGGTTCTGCGGCGGGTTTGGACGGCATTCGTCCGGGGCACCTAAAGGAACTCACTTCTAGGGCGGCGGGCGAAAACGGGCAACGTTTAATGGGTAGTCTGGCCAAGCTGTGTAACTTCTTACTTAGCGGTCAGTTAAACCCTGAAGTGTGTCCTTTTATGTATGGGGCTTCGCTTTGTGCCTTAAATAAGAAGGATGGAGGACTCAGGCCGATAGCTGTCGGCAGCGTTTTCCGCCGTTTGACTGCTAAGCTGGCCTGTTGTTCAGTCAGGGAGGAAATGGCTGAGTATCTACAACCGCACCAGTTAGGCTTTGGCACGCGTCGAGGTTGCGAGGCGGCTATCCATGCCACACGGACATACGTGATGGACCCTAAAAACTCTCGTTGCGTCGTCTTGACGCTTGATATCCGCAACGCTTTTAATACCTTGGAAAGGGATGTTCTGTTAAGCGCAGTTAAGGATAAAATTCCTTCCCTCTATCCTTTCCTTCACCAAGTCTATAAATCTCCTTCGAACCTCTTTTACAATAAGGATCTTATTCTTTCGCAAGTGGGAGCTCAGCAGGGAGATCCACTTGGGCCACTCGTCTTTAGCCTTGCCATCCACAAAATCATTTCCAAGCTGGAGTCACCCCTAAACCTGTGGGACCTAGATGACGGTACTATTGGCGCACAGCCTGAGGTGGTGGCGAAAGACATTATGGTTTTGATCCCACGCCTCAAGGAGCTAGGTTTGGAGGTGAATCCAGCAAAGTGCGAGTTTTTCCCCTGCAGTACTGAAGCTCGCACACACTTTACACACTTTGAAATGTTCTTTCCTGGCCTCAGCGAGATCACACCAGGTACCTTCAGCCTATTGGGCTCTCCCATTTTCCTTGAGGCAGTCCCTGAGGCCATTGCTGCCCGTCAAAATCTTCTCCTTGCCACACGGGAACGTTTAAAGCATCTTTCTCCTCATGTTGCGGTTCTGCTGCTTCGTATGTGTTTCGCGGTTCCTAAAATCACGTACTTATTGCGGACTACTCCAACCTGGCTTTGTCCGGAGGCTGTCTCTTTGTTCGACGGTGCTTTAAGAGATACTGCTGAGTCGATCCTTAACGTCTCCCTTGATGAGCACCAGTGGATCCAGGCAGCTCTGCCAATAAGATATGGGGGTCTCGGATTACGGCGTGTGCTGGATGTTGGCTTGCCAGCCTTCCTAGCGTCGGCACATGGGGTTGCGGACCTTGTCGCTGTCACACTTTCTCCAAATGGTGAGCATACCTTATGTGTCCGAGGCGGTATCGGCATGGTCAGCCGTCAACGCAGGTGAGCCATTTCCAGTGACCCTACACGTCCAGCGAGCATGGGATGACATTGGAGCTAAGGGACTCCTTAAACAAATGTTGGATACCGCTAGGGGTACCGATCTGGCAAGACTGAGGACCGTATCGCAGCCAGAGTCAGGGGCATGGTTACATGCACTCCCATCGTCTCAATTGGGTACCTTGCTAGACGGCGACTCTTTACGTGTGGCAGTGGCTCTCCGCCTAGGCTGCAGGGTGTGCGAACCACATAGATGCACCTGCGGTGCCATGGTGGAGGCCGATGGTCTTCACGCACTGAGTTGTCATCGCTGCGCAGGTAGATTTTCGCGACACCATGCCCTAAATGACATAGTCCGAAGGGCTCTTATATCCGCCAATGTACCCTGCGTGCTGGAGCCATCGGGTCTTAGCAGATCTGACGGGAAGCGGCCGGATGGCTTGACTTTGGTGCCGTGGAAAAACGGCAAGTGCTTGGTATGGGACGCTACATGCGTTAGCACAGTCGCGGCCTCACATCTGAGTCGCACCGTCCAAGCCCCGGCGGCGGCGGCGGAGGATGCCGCTAGTAGGAAGCAATCAAAATACGCCGCAATGGAGACGCACTATTATTTTGTGCCTATTGCGGTGGAGACTTTGGGCAGTTGGGGGTCGGCAGCTAAAAAGTTAATTGCAGAGATTGGTCGCCGAGTTAGGGAAAAAAGTGGTGACTCCCGCTCCGGCTCGTTTCTGGTGCAAAGAATGTCCGTTGCAATTCAGCGAGGCAATGCTGCCAGTATCATGGGCACCTTTGCACCGGGAGCGACGCGGGGCGGGTTATATGATCTGACTTGAATAAAAAATAATAATAAATGTAACTTAAATGTATGTATTAGATTAAAATTAAAAATAATAGGAAATATTGAATTAAAGTAAAAGTAGTTTTAATCAAGTTTGAATTTTTGTATGATATATACATCCATGTTTGGTTTTGAAGATTGCTTCAATAATTTTAGTTTTGCTGTAAATTTAGAGGTTTGAGAAAAATAGAAATATGTTAGAGAAATTCTGACTGCTGCAGATAGTGTTGTTAGTTATAATTTTTGGTTGTGTTGTATTATTATTCTCTTTATTACATTATAAATACATATTGATTATATTTTTAAATATATTATAAAAGAAAAAAATACTTTTAAAAATATAAAAAATAGGAGACCACCGACATCGGGTACAGGGACTAAAACACCGCCTTCGATGCGTTCTGCGTCACATCAATACAGTAGTCTTAAATCTATTACGAAATGATAAACCACCTACACAATTTTTTTCTCATGAACAGAATTTAACTTAGATATTGACTACAAAATATGTATTATAGTGATGGCAAAAGTATTAACCCTTAAAGGCCAAAACTAATTTGTATGTCGTCAAGTAGTCTTATAGGTACTTATAATTATTTTATTATAAAAAATAGCATCAATTTTAAATATGAGCTATTGCATAAAGATGAACTTTGACACAAACTATTTTAATTAAATTATTAAAATAGTTTGTGTCTGTACCTTCTATTGAACCTTAAGGATTTCTCAAAAACGAAAACGACAGCGCTAGCATTGGCGGTCAAACAAATAAATGTACGACAATAAACCACCTACGATTCTACGTTCAATATCGATCTATTTGTACAACACTAAGGGAGTACCTACCTATACCCGCAAACGGGACTCAGTATCACAAACTGCATGTAGTTAGCTATTTACAGGCTGTCACCTGTCACCGTTATCATCTTAAACTTTAAAGGTCAGGGCACTGCAGCTTGCCAGCAGCACCTACTTATAATAGAGTTGGGAACTAATAAATAGCATTGTTATTGCTTTATAAATATTTATTTGATCATAGATATTACAAAATTGACAATATAAATGAATATTAGTAACATAGCGATATGAAACAGCAATGTTAGCTATTCAATCATTATATTTTTATAGGTATATATTTGAAGAAGATCGATTGGAAAATATAAGTCTAGACAGCGATACGTAATATGTATGTCCAAGGCGCTTATTTCTAATTGGATTGGAAACAAGAACACAGGAACGGTATGACCAGTGACGTTCCAATCGATTTGATGTTTCAACAGACAGTGCACAGATAATAAAGCTGATCATTCTAATTACATTTGTGTATAAGTCCTCATCTTACAAACGATAGAATTACATTTTCTCGTTGATAACATGACAAAAACTTTGATATGATTAAGTAGTAAAGATATACCATAGCTCATATAACCTATACTTTGATAGTTGTTCGTGAACCCAAAACTATTTATACATATCCGAAGTGCACGCTGTGTATATGTATATCTATTGTTCGTTTAATATATTTTTGTATGGAAACCTTTAAATGAAAAAAAAACTGTGGGGTATGGCACTTCCTTTTAATAACATCAATGTGATTACATCGTGCAGTTGCAATTATTTAAATATGTACCGACATACATATGTACATACATATACTATTTACATATTTTATATAACATATTTTTACATTTTATACAATCCAAGAAAGCAGTAAATAAAAGTCAAATGTGTAAAGAAATGTCGTACCCTCTTTGATACAGCTATTAAGTTAACAAAATGGCTTGACTAGCTAATTAAACATTTATTCGTGTTACAAATAAAACGTAATCAGTTGAATTAGCAGTAACGATGTCGATTGGTATTTTTTTTTATCTCAAATTTACAGGCTTGGTGCACACCAGTACAATGTGGCGTCGGATTCATGACGTCATGAGTACTGGCCAGTACACTGAGTTATATTTCGGAACACACAATATCTATTGTTGTTGACGCTAAGGCTTGCAACAGATGGTAATGACGTCTAAATATACCCTAAAAGAAGCTCGTGACAAAAACTTTAACAAAAACACGTAACACGCAGATATATGTACCTATAGAGAGTCTGTTGGCGTGTTCGCTCCTGTCACTGAAAAAGAACTCGAAAAATATTTATTGTTGTATGTAAATATACACACGTATCAATTATTGCTTATATGTATAGATACCCACACTTACTATCACACTTTTTTTAAAGTTTCAAATTATTTTTTACTATATACATATATGTACCTATATATTATTTAGCGACGAAACGATGCGATGTGACTATGTATGCAGCATCTGAGCATCATTTTATTTAGACATATGCCGAGAATCTCTTCCTTTTTTTATTTATAAACATTATATCAATTTACTATTTACAAAACAACACGTGCTAAAATAGTCAGTGACACGATGATTGTATAACACATGGTGCGGCACTCGTACATGACCTCGCGCACGGACATTATATCTCTGTTTTACAATCGAATCGAAAGGGCTGAAACTACTACTGCTGTCGGTCAGATAAACTGACCGATAGTACAATTGAGATTAAAAAATGTGTAGGACCGAGAATCCACGAACACGACCGCAGTCCAGTCGTACGATCGCGGCCCGATGGCTTCCATTGCCTTAAACCGATGCCCGATGGGGACGCGCGCGCTTACAAGCACACGCACCGCTGCCGTTATTGGTCCTTGTCCTTGTCCTCCTGGCTGCTGGGCGGCGGGTCCCGGCGCAGCAGGCGCACGCCCACGTAGCCCAGCAGCGAGCCGGCCGCCGCCGCCAGCGCGCCCGCCTTGGCGCCGACGCACAGCCCCAGCGGGCCCCCCACCATCGCGCCCACGCACGCGCCGCCCACGTACGCGCCCGCGCGCAATCTGCACCAGTCAACGTTCTATATAAGGGACTTTTGTCAGGGTGACAAAAAGTTTTGTCATAGTCAAATCACGTCTCTCGAAGTCACTTAGTACTGCAAACGGCGAACGGAACTAAAAAACGAACGAAAAAAAAAAAAAAAACCGGCCGTTTCGTCAAGGACTCGTTCGACGGACAGCGCGCAAAATGTCACCCAGTTGTCACGTCGTCACGCGCGCGCACCTTCATACATAGATACTCCCGTTCCGAACTAAAGTAACAAAATGTTCACGGTGACTAAAGTCACTCGTGCGCGCTTGCTCTGAGTGAAGCGTACGTCAGCGACGTACGTTTTACGTACCTCTCGGCGGAGGCGAGGTGGTGGCGAGCGGCACTGACGTTCTCGGCGGCGATGTCAACGTGCGCGGCCGCCTGTTCCACGTGGTCGCGCTGCGCCAGCGCCGCGGCCTGCGCGTGCTGCCACACCTCGTGCAGCGCGCGCACCTCGCTCTGCAGCTCACTCCAGCCGCGCAGCAACGCCTCGCGCTCGCTCAGCGCTAGCTCCTGCGGAAGTGCGCATGTGTAAGCACAAAACGATATCGATCGAGCGGCACCGACCGCCGACGGTCACTGACCTGATCGTCTACTCGCAACTGTATCTGTTCCTTATCTTCTAGGGGTACAGCTTCGTTCTGGGCGTGCGCGACGACCCCCACCGAGTCCGTGGACGCGTCGCTCGCCGCCACCGCCAAGCTGGGCTCTACGCGCCGGTTTATCGCCAGCGGGGACGTCCCTGTCGTTAAATATCATGGTATTTGAAATAGCTTTGGAAGGCACGGTTTACCAACATAGTGCAATTAGTGTTCAAAGTAATGCCTATTCCACAGAGACATTACGATCTCGAGATAGACGTTGCAGAATCACAAATAAATAATTTCCGATGCTATATTTTATCCTTGCGCCTACCGTATACCGTAAGCTTTAATACATCACCCTAAGCAGTTGTTCAAATTTTACATTACGTGTTTAATTAAATAAAATAAGGTTTAAAACTTTATTTTCCCATGAATGCGTTGCGTTGTCGGTTGGATCTCTTACTTAAGAAATGGACATTAACTATGGAACAATTTAGACCACATGAATCTGATCTGTTTTATTTGCAACTTTGCTTTTGGTAGATTTTGGGGTCGAGAACAAGCAACGAATGCAAGGTGCTTTTGCAAGCAAGATTGCTACTGGCGATTTAAACCTCGAGGCTACTCACTACCGAGTTGAGCTGGTATTTCTATGACACAAACAGAACAGCTTTATACGAGTAAGTCTGAAGAATTGTTATACACACATTCAGTGACGGAAAATAGAATACTATATTTTCCTTTATATGGTTTTATGTATTAGATATATAGATGAAATATGTTTAATTAATATCGTTAATAGTGTTAGTAGGATGGACACATTTCTCTTGTATTGTTGTTCAGCAAACGCAGGTAGCAATGTTTACACCGACCACCAAGTTCAGTGAGCAGTTTAAAGTGTAACATAAAAAATTACAACACACTCATTCAGGTTCGTTTCGAATTAAATGCAAAAGTATCATTTAAATTGTTCATAAAATTAACCGTCTGACATTTCCATATTTATTCAGAGTCATTCTTCGTTCATAAACGAGTACGAACTGGACTACACTAGTGCAAACATTACAGAGAGCAGTTTCAGAGACTGTACTACAAGTGCACCCCAACGGGACGCTACGGGACGGGGAACACTCAAACAGATAACAGCGATCACACGCGTCATGCATGCAGCCAGCCCGGCTCACCCGTGCGGCGCGCTCTGGGAGCCGAAGACTGCACCAGCGCCTTACAGCTGCTCTCTATTACACCTACAATAACAGTCAACTTGTATAGATGAACGGTGTTTTATTTATTAGAAAAGAATTAGCTTGTCATGATAGTTGATTACGAAAAATATCTTTTTGCTTTAATAAAAAAATAAATTTGTAATACGATGACATTATCTATAAGGTGCTTTCTCATGAATCATAAAATAAATGGAGAAAGGATCACCGACCGACGGATTCCGACGGGTTTAGTCGGTTCGGTCGGAATTATTTTAAGTCGCCTTCGGGCAAAGAGACACGGCGGGGCACGGGCGAGTGCATGTAGGGCGTGGAGCGGTGGTAACACACCGAGGTAGTCGACGATGGCCTTGAGCGTGGTGTCCCTGGAGCGCTGCGTGAGCGCGTCGAAGCGCGCGCGGTCTGGGTCGCGCACCTGGCCCCGCAGCGCGTCCATCTCCAGCAGCAGCGCGCGCAGCTGGGCCGCCACGCGCCCCGCGTGCCGCTGCTCGACGCGCGCACGCGCCAGCTCGCCGCACTCCTCATACTGGAACCGAATCTCATCTTTGTCATTCCTCAAACTAGGTGGATTTAACTTATCATAATAATTAATTAACTCATACACTACAAAAACAATAGTGTTAAATAATTTTATAATTTCACTAGTCAAGTGCTAATACGAAACTTTTTTTTTTTTTTTTTTTTTTTTTTTCTCTTTAAAAAGACAACTCCCGCACTAGGAATAAATCCTGTGTTGCGGGGGACTTTACAAACATACATGAAACGGACACAAAGTACACCCAGACTCAGAACAACAATTTGTGGATCACACAAAGTGTTATCCCATGTGGGGTTTAAACCCACAACACTCGGCGCAATAGAAAGCGGCGTGGCGACCGCTTAAACCACTACGCCATCCGTGCAGTTGCAGCACTTTACATTGTAGCAACGATTTAATTGGCCCCGACACTGTTATTTGTAATAAACTTTTAAGTAGTTACTGCATATAATTATCTAATAATAGCTGGTACTGCTGACTTAGTCTACATAAAATCTCTCTTTATAATCTTTGATTCCCTATTCACCACCATTAAATTTTATTTTTGTGATAAAAATAGCTTCCAACTTCTTCCGAGATCAACTTTACCCTGGTATTGATGTGAAAATATGCAGACAGACCTACATATTTTATGTATTTACAAAAATATCAGTTGTCTAGTACCCATAGTACTAGCTCTGCTTAGTTTGGGACTAGATGGCGTTGTGTGAATTTAGTAGAATATTGTTTTATTAATATTATATTATTTTACACACAGCTATTTGATTCCAAACTAGGCAGAACCATTTTCATGGAACCAGACTGCTTATAAACATAGATACTTGTTTATTTCTAAATATATACATAATATAGACAAATGACACCCATACACAGAAGGAATGATCATGTTCAGTACACAATATTAGTCCTAGGTGGGAATCAAAGGAACAACCTCGGGGTTGACAGTTGATTTCGCCAACCACTAGACAAACAGGCCCATACGTGTGTTGCAGAGGTACTTTATTCTTTTAATAAATTTCAAACAATAAACCTCTATAAGATCAGACATTTTTTGTATCACAAGTATGAGTTGTACAACGGTAGACTTAATGCCACAGGCATTTTCTTCAGTCTTACCTTAGGATTGTGCTGAAATGTGTAGCTAGGTGCACTAGACATTGATATGTGAAGTAAAAAAAAATTATTGCTAAGCAAGACAGAAACAATGTGATAAATATACATACATACACACATACATACATATACATAAATAATTACCTATAGTTACAGACATACATAAACCTACATATTAATAACATATATATCTTTAAGGTTGTAATGAATCTGCTAGTGTCCAGAATGTGATCTCGAACTTTCATCATGATCATGATTAGGAATGAGGATTTTGTACAATTTTTTGTGGGTAGTGAAATGTTAAGAGAGTTTACTGACAACATTTTTACAGTCATCTATTCTGATAAAGCTATAGCATAACACGTGTGAACTACAAGTGCATTCATATCTTTGTGTATACAAGTAAACAATGTTTCAAGTGCTGATAAAGATTGGTAACAATGACTTACAACAAAAACGACTAATACGTAGTAACGTAGTGAGTTGCTTGCACATTACGCCTACGTCAAATAACTATCATAACAGAGAAGTTACTTTTATATACTTAAATATGAACTAAGCGAACACCTGTGTTCGTCAAAAGTACCCATTTATTTTGAAACATCGACCACTACTCGTCGAATTGTTTCATTAGACAAATCAAACCAAATTTATATTACCCAAACAAAGGAAACTAGAAATAGAGCACCATGCGCACTCACCTTGAGAATATTAGTTTTGTGTTGTCGTAGTAGACCTAAGTGATGCGGTATAGCCACCTCGTTGAACTTTGTCAACGACAGTTCCACTCGCTTTAAGGGTAACTTATTATCTTCATCCATTTTGTTTATGTTACATAATGTTTTAATGAAATTTTATTTATTATTTCAGTATTATTCGACATCAAAAACAGCTGACTATTATTGTCATATTTTGACAATTGTCGAAATCAATTTGACATTATTTGGCATGGCCGTCAGTGTTGTAACGCCAATATAACATAGGACCTTCTTTCAGAAGAAACTTATAATTTTAGAAATTTCAGATAATTTAAGAGTCGCTAAATTCTTATCCAATTGTTCGCTGACGATATTGTCTGCACATCTTATATCGCACTCCTATAAATATATATATATATAAAAAAAGGCTAATGTTATTCCAAATCTTGATAAATGTAATTATCTCAAAGATAAATTAATATACTTGTGATATGTTGTTGATTCGTAACGTCTGCACTGCAAATTAATTGTACTACTCCGTCTAATAGAAAGCAGGTATACCATTTTATAGGTACTGTATCGTGATTTAGACAATTTATTCCAAGTTGTAGTTACTCTCCATTAATTAACTTGTCAAGAAAAAATCCCATCCATTTTGTTGAGCTAAAGATCCTAATAAAGATTTCTGCAATTTATAAGTGTTTAATTGCCTGAAATGAATTGCTTCGAGTAATCGGGACAAGACGGCAGTCTTGTCCTGATTACTAGAAGCCCTCCGAAATTCATACCGATGCCAGCGATTATGGTATCGGAGCTGTTCTCTGTCAGGTCTTAAAGGAAGAAGAGAGTTACACCTTATTACAGTAAATTGGTAACTAGTCAGGAGAAAAATAATACTACTACCGAGCGCGACGCGCTGCTATGTCGAAATAGAATAAAAAATATTCTCGTATTTCTAATACACCGATGGACACAGGTAATCGAGACTAAGGGATAGGCTTATGTGGTTAGTTTGAACATAGCGAAGGCCTTCGATCGAGTTTGGCGTAAAAAAAAAGAGAAGAAAAGAAGAAAAGCGTTCTTCTCTTCTTCTCTTTTTTTTCTCTTTTATGTCTTATTTTTTTTCTAGCACATAGAATTAGCATAGCTATTCAACGTGGCAATTTTGCCAGTCTTCTGGGAACGCTACCAGTAGGCGATGATGCAGAGGAATTTTGTGATGCTTGTATGTAAATAGTGTAAATGTTGTAAATATTCCAACTTAATTAATTTTTATTCTTAATTTCATTTATATTTTTTTACTAGATACTAGATATGCTTATGGATTATACTATGTTATAAATTATAATTAAATGTCCTAATATCAAGTTAACTAAGTCTATGGTCAGTTAGCTTATATCCCTGTAACGCGGTACAGATCATAGTGCAGATACCTGTAATATACTGATTATCAGTATAGTAAATTCTATCTGTCAACTGTCAAAATCTAAAAAGTCGTTCGTTGATCTAAAAACTAAAAAGTATCGGTAGTGACTCTTGTGGTGATTATTCGTGTTAAAAAGTGTTAAGACTTTTACATGTTTTTAATGTATTTTAATTTGTAAACGAGCACTTTATTGTGTTCTCACAAACATATTAACAACAACAATGAATATCGACACGGGTAAGTAATAGCTTTTTTGATCACTAACCTCAATGTTGTAAGATTGTTTTTAGACTCAAATAACTATCACTTTTTATTAATTTAAAGTGTCATCCTTGGGATTTGCAAGAATTTAGGGATGGCTTGGAGCTTATAACTTTTTGAATAAAAACATGCTATAAATACATTGTTGTGTCAACATACTGGCATACCTTGATGACTATGGTGATTATGGTGATTAAGTCTCGCCTTCAGCCTCACTCAGTGTAGATCTACTACTAGATTTATACCAAACTATTATTGGTATAAATATAGTATTTATACCAATAATAGATTGTTATACATGACAATCTACACCTGCAATATAAATAAACTAATGCTGAATAATAGTTTTGTATTGTACATTATTTTGTATATCCCTGTTCAGTTGGGGGTTTATCTGAATATGTCCTTAAAGGATCTTTACACTGGTGCTTATAGACATGTTGTTGTTTGATTTAGTTCAGTTTACAGTTTCACTTCAGTAACTACTTAACATGTTCACTTCCACATCACATTCTAAATACTCAATTTGTAGACCACAAACAAGGATCATCACATATTTTATGAAATGGAACCCAATTTTTTCATATCAAGTAATCAAATGAAACATAAATTAAATAAAAAAAAAATGTTTTTGAACAATTAATAAAGAGGATATAGCAATAACATTATGCAAATCTGAAGCATTAGTTACCTATACAATGCCATAAGCAGTTGTCATGTGATGATGAATGAATGATCAAGTAACATTTATATTGCTCCAGGTGGCAGATGCTCCCGCTCCCGCAGCACCTCTGTAAGTACCTCTACTTTCCATACTTCAAGATATATGTGTGTTACCGTCTTGCCATTTTTTCTTGTTAATCTTAGATGCTAAGTGAAGTAAGGCTTAATAGTTTGTTAAGAGTTTCTTTTGGTTTTGCTGATAGAGCAGCAGTGGCTAACAAGATGTGTGTTGTAGAATTCCTAATTTGAAAAGAAAGGTGCTAAGTGTTGCGCCAGTGTTCCGTAGTCGCAAATAATCATGCAAGTTTTATCTTGGGAGCTATTACTCCTAAAATGACAGAGCTAACTTAGCAGTTATAGTTTTCTGTCTAAGTTTGTTATAAATACGGTAGTATTTACAATGATTTTTTTACATATTTCAAGTTAACAGTTTATATTTTAGAGGTTTAAATTAGCACTTTACAGTTCAATATACTAATGCAAAAAATAGTCTTCACTTTAATAATACCCCACACTATAGAATAGTTGAGATTAAAAAAACTGTCCGCACTTTATGTGTGCATGAGGTACAAAGGTAGGTATATCTTTTTATAGACTACTAAATACCTACAAAGCTGTCCCAACTAAAAATGTGCAGAGGTTGTCACAAAAAAACCTTAATCTAAGGAATACAGGTAGCTCGGTAAAAATAGTACTTGGCTAAATCTACTAAATCTCAGGTACCTATTCTATTTAAAATATTGGATAAAAGGTATATAAACAGGTTAAAATTATACATTGGATAATATTTTATTTTCTTTCTTTCATTTCATGATTTCAAGGTGGTGAAAATATTGTACATGTGATTTCTGCAGCTTTTCATTGCAGATATCCATCATGATAATAATGTAATTATGTGTAATTAATATATAATTAAAACAGTAATATAAGTAGTATTGTAATTATATGTAAACTAGCGATCCGCCCCGACTTCGCACGGGTGCAATGTAGATACTACTAATGTGGTGTCAGTTTATAGTAATACAATTATAGTAGTATTATGATAAGACTATACTACAGGACATCTTTGCAATGCAATACTATACTACGACGGAAGTACGGCCGGAAGCTTCGCTTTGTTTTTCCTCCGCATTTTAAACCTCTAGTATCATCTAAAATATTCATTTTAATGGTACTCGGCATGCCTTTTAAGTTCAGTCGTTTCCATATCACCCGGCAATTTTGAATTTGGAACTGTTCTATATTCGTATGTGTTTAAATTTTGAATCTCAAAACAGTTGAAAGTATTAGGACTAATGCTATTGTTTAGTCACAGCGTCAACTGGAATCTGTCACGTTACGTACGTCTTTCTAAGAAAAATGTTCGTGCAATAATTTTCTACAACTTTTGAAGAGGCCTGACACGGCTTCAGTGTTTTGAAGAGCTAACTGATCTGTGTATATAATCTGCGTTCAGTGATGAAGCCCCATGTCTGTGGACTGTCGAACGCTGGTATTTAGAATTCCAGCGTGGACATTCTAGTGTTAGTGACAAATCTCGCGAAGGACGCCCAAAATCCGCCTTCACTGAAGATAACATCATTGCTGTGAAACAACTAATTTTCGAAGATCATCATGTGACGTATCGAGAGTTAGAGGCTGTCTTTGGCATCTCAGGGACAACCATTCAGAAGATCTTGCATGAAGCGCTTGGTGTGAGAAAGCTAGTTTGCCGTTGGATACCGCATCTGCTTTCCTACGATCACAAGGCGGCTCTCGTCAGATGGTGTAAGAAAATTTTGCAAAAGTTCAACTGAAGAGAGTCAAATCACGTCTACGACATCATCAGTGGTGAGGAATCTTGGATCTATGCCTACGATCCTGATTCCAAACAACAATCTACAATCTGGGTCTTTCAAGACGAGCCAAAGCCGACTAAAGTTGTTCGTTCTCGAAGCACTTCAAAGAAGATGGTGGCCACGTTTGTTAGAAAAACCGGCTATGTTGCGACTATTGCACTTGAAGATCATAGAACGGTTAACGCAGAGTGGTATACCACAGTTTATTTAACACAAGTTATCGCCGAACTTCGAAAATCTAACTCAAAGCGACGCATCATCCTGCACCACGACAACGCAAGCTCACACAGCGCTCGTCAAACAATTGAGTATTGAAGCAGGAAAAAGTAGAAATTCTTGACCACCCTCCATACAGTCCTGACCTAAGCCCTAAAGATTTCTTTACATTTCCTAAAATTAAGAAAAGTCTTCGTGGTCAAAGGTTCCAGTCCGGTGAAGAAGCAATCGACGCTTTCAAGTCAGCCATTTTGAAGACCCCCACTTTAGAGTGGAATAAATGTTATAATAACTGGTTTGAGCGAATGGAATAGTGTATTAAGCTACGTGGTGAATACTTTGAAAAACAATAAAAAGTACTATAAGGTTCTAGTTGTGTTTTTTCTTCAAACGCAGTTTCAGCGCAAGTTTTATTATATTATTATTTTTTTATGTTAGAGGGGACAGACGGGTCACCTGATGGAAAGTGACTATCGCCGCCCATGAACGTAAATCGTAATCTATATTAAACGCACAACGTATCTAACGTATTTAATTGGATAAGGAATAATAATGTATTGTTTAAATAACTTCGTAAATAACCTATTATTTTTTTGTAATATTTAAAACATAAAAATGATTACTGTGGGTCATCCTTAGTAGATAGACATATACCATCACGGACTTTTTTGTAGATCTTTTTCAGACATACAATTCCGGTGTACATTTTTTTTTTTGGTTATCTCGTAAGGCTACGTAATCTTTACGAGATAAACCAAAAAAAAGCATTTAAAATATAAGCGCGCAAAACCATGTTTTTTACGACAAATCATTTAAACCTCGTACTTACAAACCTTCCTCTTGAATCACTCTCTCTATTGGTGAAAACCGCATTAATATCCGTTACTTAGTTTAAAAGATCTAAGCGTACAGCAAAAAGAGCGACTTTATAACACAGGTTAGCAAGCGAAGCCGGCCGGTACTACCGCAGACGTCACGGACAGGAGGGGGACGCCGCTCTCCTTCATACCGCGCCCCAGCTTTGCTCCTCTAAGTAGCTGAGATGTCTCACTATTAGTATTTATTACACAGTAGTATAGTAGTGACCTAATAGTATAGATTGGAATCGGCACATGCGCCAAGCCAAGTGCTGGTATAACTCGTTAGTTAATCACCGTGATTATTATGGTGGAATTGTAATAAGATACTAATGACATAAAAATAACCAAAATGGATCCAGCTACAGCTTATCTGGTACTCACAATACAATTTTAAGATCTGTAAAATAAGGGCCTAATTAGAGAATGGCGAACTAATGAGGGTTGTTGTATAAAAACAGAACGTCGAGCTAATCTTTATCAGTAGCTTTCAGCACTTGTGCGCGCTAACATTGTATTTGTTATTGTGGGTAATTGTGTGCGTTACTTAGAAGGGTTTACTTAGAACTAAATTTTAAACTGAAATGTCATCTTAAAATTATGTGTGTTAATGTTTCAGGCTGGATCAAAGATGTCGCACGACGGCTCGCAACGATCACGGCGCAATTCAGATTCAGGGTCGCGCTCCCGATCGCGTTCAAAGTCGAGCTCACGGTCTCGGTCTAGGAGCAAGTCACGTTCTCGCAGTAAATCCCGTTCCCGTAGCAAATCTAATTCCCGCAGTAAATCTCGATCCCGTAGCAAGTCTCGTTCCCGGAGCAAGTCTCGTTCCCGCAGCAAGTCTCGTTCCCACAGCAAGTCCCGTTCCCGCAGCAAGTCTAATTCACGCAGTAAATCCCGGTCCCGTAGCAAATCCCAATCACGTAGTAAATCACGGTCACGTTCTCGTAGCGGTTCACTTGCACGATCACGCTCTCGCTCGCGGTCTCACTCAGGAAGCAGATCCCGATCTCGCTCTGGTTCTCCCGTAAAGTCACGCTCAAACTCGCCTGCCAAATCACGCTCAGGGAGTGGTTCGCCGCGCAAATCAAAGTCTCGCAGTCGGTAAGTAAAAACATGCCAGATATAGATATTACTAGCTGGTACCCGCGACTTCATTCGGCGTGGAATATGAATAGGCGACTGCAGTTCATGAGGCCTTGGGTTAAAATCCCGGACCGGTCAAAATTTTATAGGTTTTTTCTGAGAGGAAAAATAGCCTAAGTTACTCCTTGTATAGACAGCTACATGGTAGTAAAATATTATCAAAATTGGTCCACCCGTTTTGAAGATTACCCGAAACAGACAGACAGAGTTAAACAGATTTTAGGCATAGGTATTGTGCAAATAACCGTGTGGGCATGAAAAAGATCTATTATTTTGACATTAAAAACACACACTTCAATATTTGTGTTTAGCTCGTGTGAGCAATAATAAATATTTATTGGTGATAGATAACATAAAGTAAGTTCTAGTAGTCAATATTTTTTTGACTTATTAATATAATCGTTTCTATTAATGAACGTTATATATACATATATAATTATAAATATAAATATATAATTATTATATATATTTCAAAAGCTTTGTGGTGTTCTCGTGCAGATCTCGGTCTAAAAGTGGTTCAAGATCTCGTAGTGGGTCACCAATTAAAACACGATCCAGAAGTAAATCTCCTGCGCGTTCCCGTTCTGGCAGTCGCTCTTCCGCACGCTCCAAGTCTAAAAGTGTATCTCCGAGAGGATCAAGGTCACGGTCACGAAGCAAGTCTCCCGAGAAAATGGAGGTAGACGGTGAAGTTAAGGACAAAACGGAACGAGCTTCCGCCGAAAGAGTCACTTCACGCTCCAAGTCTAAATCCCCGAGTAAGTAAGAGTGTTGTTCACACATTACTGTTATTAATTACTTTTAGGTGGTTTATTGTCACACATTTTTATTTTGCAATTTCCAGATAAACGCGCTTCCCGTTCGCGGTCCCGTTCAGCAGGCTCACGTAATACTAAATCAAAATCTCGTTCGCGCTCTCAATCTAAGTCTCGCTCCAGGTCTAGGTCCAAGTCAATTGAGAAAGGTATACTTTATTTATCTCTTTATTGTACACCACTGCAGTATTATTTGTGCAGATAATATACAAAACATTTCTTTATAGCAATAGGCGGTCTTATCGCTCACAGTGATGTCTTACAGACCTTTATATGGATATTGTCAATTTTAAATTGAGGTAGCCTGCCTTGTACTATTACAATATATTGAAAATACACTTAAATACATACAACATATTATTATATAAATATATATATACATACATACACAGGTTCTTTAAATACACAAATTCCTCTATGATCTCAAGTACTGGTTTGTGACTAGTTTTTAAAATATTTGCAATGATTTAGCTTGCCTAATGTTATTCCCTTCCCTCCTTCTTTTCCATTGGTATAACGTTATTTAATTTGCCAAGGCATACAAATCTTCAAATCTTTTAAAGGTAGTTAATTTTTTTTTACATGAATCATTTTTAACATTTCAGCAAGGAAACGCATTCGTTCTAGATCGGGTTCACGTAAGTCTCGATCACGGTCTCGCTCTAGATCTCGTTCCAAGTCCAGATCACGGTCTCGTTCCAAGTCTAAGTCACGATCACGCTCTAAGTCCAGATCTCGGTCTCGGTCGGGATCGGCAAAGTCACGGCCCAGGTAACGTTATGACAACCATTTCTAGCAGTAGTAGTAAATTGAATGAGTTCACATCTTTGTACTGAGTGCCGACCTCGGTCATGTGCAGGTCACGCTCGCGATCTCCAACCAGTTCGCAGTCCGGTTCCGGCTCGCCGTCACATCGAAGTGAGTACCGTGTCGATAAGTAATATGAGTATACCACCGAGACCGTCGTTGAAAATGGTAATTTAACTATCGGTCGTTTTGCAGCCAAAAAAAGACGCACCGTGAGGTTAGAATCCGACGACGAGGGCGGCGAGCGGGAACGTCCCGCCACCCCGGTCGAAGGTGAGAAGGAAACCGAACCCAAAACTGCGAATAAAGACGTGGAAGGGGATTCTTCGGACGACGAATTAGCGCCGGACTCTAAAACGTCGGAAATGATGGGAGGCATGTCCGACTTCGAGCTGATGTTGGCGCGCAAGCGCGACGAGCGCCGCGGCAAGCGCCGGCGCCGCGACATCGACATCATCAACGACAACGACGACCTCATCGCGCACCTGCTGCAGCAGATGCGCCAGGCCGCCGAGGAGGACCGCGACCTCAACAAGCGCAACCAGCCCGCCGTCAAGAAGGTGGGCGCCTCATTCCTTCACCGTTGTTTGCGTTCTTTTACTTGCGCACTGTTTAAACGAGTTTCGACCGTGCCAGGTCTCCATGCTGAAGTCGGCCATGTCGCAGCTGATCAAGAAGGACCTGCAGCTGGCCTTCCTAGAGCACAACGTGCTCAACGTGCTGTGCGACTGGCTAGCGCCCATGCCCAACCGCGCGCTGCCGTGCCTGCTCATCAGGGAGAGTATACTGAAGTTGCTCATGGATGTACGTGTCGCCTCATACGTCACCCGACATGTTGTACGACCGGTCCGCTGGACCACTTACGATTGATCGTTTTGTTGCGCAGTTCCCTTCCATAGACAAGTCTCTCTTGAAGCAGTCCGGTATCGGCAAGGCGGTCATGTACCTGTACAAGCACCCCAAGGAGACCAAGGCCAACCGTGAGCGCGCGGGCAGGCTCATCTCCGAATGGGCGAGGCCTATATTCAACCTATCTACAGATTTTAAAGGTAAATTTACACCGATCGGTACAAAGTTGTACTTCTTTTGATTTTGAAAAACCTTTGCTCGTACATCTATATCTTTACGCTATATCTTATAGTCGCTCGGGGGTACGTTTTTGTCTAATCAATGATATAAATTTAGATCTTGGGTGTAGTAGACCGTAAACAAGTATATAAGGCAAATGGGATAAGGCTAGTAAGGATCGCACACGCATAACCTATTATATGTATGTACTCTGAACGGATCGGTGGTAATCTGAAGAAATCGCCGGAACCTTTTAATTGAAAATGTGTAAAAAGTTGTATGATGGTAGAAACTCGTGATTTAACTTGCCCTAAAGGGAGAAAATCGTGATGTGTGTATGTATGTGTACTTTTACTCAGTAATAAACTGTTAAATGTACACACTTTCAAATGTTAAAATGAAAAATAAAACTATAATTATACTGGCGGAAACAAATTAGTAAACAAAGCTTATCACATGAAAAAAAAATGGCCTCCGCGAACACGGCGGCAACGAACATTTCCGATTACTCCCGACAACTGCCGAACTAACTTCGGTAGCCTGCGGCTGGAGGCGGGAAAATAAAAAAAATGGGTGTGTGCGTTTGCGAACTGTGCACGGACACCAAAATTACTACACACAGGCGAACAAATGTCCTGCGGGACGCGACGGCATGAGTTGGTTGGTTAGGTGCAGCGCCGCTTGCTTGTCGGTAAACGCCTGGCAAACATAATGTTTGTGTAGTGCTATTTTTAAATAGTAGGCGTTTTTAAGTTATTATATTTTGTTTTTTCATTTATTTACTATTAATTAAAGTCATCTAAAACGTACGAACGTTTTGTTAAAATGTGTGTAAATAGCAAGTAAAGCATTACATTTCTGCCTACAAGGAGCGCACGCCCCACGTTAAAACAAATACAATTCGGTTCATCGAATAGATCGCAAACGCTAGTCGTAACTTTGAAAATCGTTTTAATTCGTTACGGTTGTCGGGACTCATCCGATCACCTAACGAGTAGATATCTGTAAACGAAAGAAATCCGTTCGTATCCGTGTCGTAAAACGGTATCGCGCACGCTTTAAATTTCGTAGATCATCTCCGTACGAGCGTACGGTATATCGATTCGGTCGGAATAGACGGCGAGCTCTCGACCTCACCGTAGTCATAATAAATGAAGATGTGGTGGTAGTGGTGTCAGTGAGTCCCCGTGTCGTGTTGCAGCCATGACGCGCGAGGAGCGGCAGGCGCGCGACGAGGCCATGGCGGGCGGCGCCGGGCCCAGCAAGCGACCGCGCCGCGCCGACCTCCCGCCCGACCCCGACAAGTCAGTAGCCCACGCTTACTCCTGTACCCAGTACCCAGTACCCTGTACCCTCCACTCTGAACTTCGAGATATCGAATGTCGCACCGGACCGCTTTCTAAAATATCTATGTATTTAAAAATATATCAGTGTATTGTCGGCGGTCCGGTTAGGACGAGTAGACAGGTAGAATTAGCTTTTTTGATCCAGAATTTTTTTATTGGATCGGAATTTTTCTTTTATTGAAGATTCAATTATCAGGAATCGATGCAATAAAAATTGAAACAACACATTGTCAGCTAAGGTGGCAAGACGAATGTCAAAAAATTGTAAAAACTAGGTTCTCTTTGTTTTTTTATTGCGTGCATTGTACCGTTCCACTTATTACTTATTTTCGTAGGAGCTAGTTTTCACCTCACCTCACACCTTTCTTCACCTTAGCTGAAAATATTTTGTTACAATTTTTATGCCATAAATTCCTGATAATTGAACCTTAAATAAAATAATTTATTCGCTGCAGTAGAAATTTTCAGGATTTTTCAGAAATTTTTGCCAAATTCTACCTGTGCAATGTTCCGCCTGGTTACTGTATATGTGTGTGTGTGTGTGTCAGGGCGGCGCGGCCGGGCGAGCCGGGCTGGGTGGCGCGCGCGCGCGTGCCGCTGCCCAGCAACAAGGACTACGTGTACCGCCCCAAGTCCACCAGCGACGTCGACATGTCGAGGGTGAGCGAACCTCCTCTCTGATGAGTAGCGACCGAGCTCCGACCGCTCCGACGTTAACGTCGTGTGTGTGTTACAGACGAGCAAGAAGAAGATGACTCGCTACGAGAAGCAGATGAAGCGCTTCATGGACCAGAAGCGCCTGAAGAGCGGGTCGCGTCGCGCCGTCGACATCTCCATCGAGGGCCGCAAGATGGCGCTGTGAAGCCCGCCGTTGTGATTTTGTCTTAAGTCGTAGGCTAAGCTAATGTACTGAATAAATTATGCGAGGACGACGAATCTACTCTTTCGTTACCTACCCTTCGATGGATCGCTCCCGACCCTCGAACCCTTTACGGACCCTCGGACTCTGACGGAATGTAGACAGCCAACGAGTTTGGAACGACACGCTCCGGACCCTCCCGCTCCGAGTTGAACTAATTGGAACTGAAGAACCGAGAGCGCATAAACATAATTGACACAGATGTTCCGCAAAAGTACATGTTATATGAAAATAAAACACACACCTACAATAATATTAAAGACCAAAATAAGTATAAGTAACGATGAAATAATAAATTAAAATCGAATCACATAAAAGCACACGGTGTTCCCTCCCGTATACTTGCACGAGACTAAGATATACCGTGGGGAAGAAGTAGTCGGGAACTTGAACAGACCTTGGCTGCCACCTTGGCGTGGCCACATTATTGTGTGCAACAGGACTTGACCCCTTCAGTCCCCTTCCTCTTCAAAAAGACGCGAGTGGGACAAAGTGTCCCACTCGCGTCTTTGTTCTAGAGATCAGAAGATCCTGCATAGTTTGCTTCCTTAGTCGCCTCGACACCGACGGAATGAATAGGAGTGGTGACACTTTATTGTTGATGTATTAATGAAAATTGGTAAAATATAATGTCTGTCCGTTAGCTTATCACAAATAATAGATAACACAGTTCAAAAAAAATTAAAATAAAGTTTTAGTACGAAAATACAGAAATGCATATTAAGAACAAAATACAATAAAGTAATGCCGCATTAGAACACGGTTAAGGTCTCGGTGTTGGTAGACAAATAAAAAGTAATATCTATAAATATGTGCGTTGTACAGAGCAGTGATCCAGATGGAGTATATAAGGCGATCGTAGTGGGAGCCGTTGCGCCCGCACCCCCGCTTCTCCTTGCCTCCCCGTCACCTGCGCCGCACGTCGTTCGGCTAGCGGTTCAGCCGGTTGAAAGCACCAGCCCACCGCGATATCGAGGATCGAGGTTTGATTCTCGATGATACCATTTTCGCAATGTCGGCGACATTAAAGCGACGCCGCCGCGGGGAGCCGCCGAACTTTACATTTTTATTATTACCTGCTAATCACTCACTTCTCTTGTTGTTGAAATTAATTTTTAAAAATTACGATTTTATTCACGTGTTATTTCGGGAATGCTCGACTAGCTTCGGACCCGGCAGTACGTGTCACTCTTTGACTTTGGTTGTCTCGTAATCTTTGTACCGCCCATAAAAAGTCCGAAAGTCTGTATGAAATACACGATTGATTCCATACCTTGGTTTGTCAGTAAAGCTAAAGTTAAGAGTTCCCGGTAAATTAACATCATGTCAGAATATTCCGCGTCTAACAGGTCTCTCGCGGCATTATGGATGTCGATACCGATAACCCAATAAAATTAAAAGACTGATAATGCACTCAGTTTCACACATACTAAACTAATATTCTCAGTTTTCAAAATAAAATTACATTACGTTACAACACGAAGTGCACACCATAACATTATTGCCGTGTATTATGACGAACGCAATTAGACTATTGTTTAGTCTACACAGTTAACACAACAAAACTTTTCTAAATAAATATCTCAATATAATTTTTGCATACCATTCACATAAGGACTTTGCAAATATGATCATGTTTCCCACTACCGCAAAAAGCTCCTCCTCCTGAGGTCCTCTAAAAGCCTGAGAGTGTAAAGACCAAGGCATTCTACCAGTTTCTACACAAACTCATTTTTCGTAGAAATTGTACGTTTATGGAATGCCTTGCCAGTTTCTATCTGACGTGCGCAATCCGTAACCACCTTCAAGAATATGCTGTATGAGCATTATCTGTCTCTCATAGTTGCAAATTAGTGTATGGATATATATAAACGTATGTACAAGGTGTCTCAAAAGAAAGTTTATATTTAGTAGATCGATTAAAAAAAAAGTAAGCAGTGTATCGAAAAAATGTTTATTAATTATTAAAGTACACAATTTGGGAATTTATTTCTTAAAAATAATATCGTCCAAATGTAGACCCTCGCGTTCGCGGCACTCATTTAATCGAACAGTAAAATTACTTATGACGGCTCGGCAGGTGGACTCAGTGATGACTGCCATTTCGTGACGGATATTTTCTAGAAGAAAAAAGAAGTCGTCTAACATATCCACATAACGCTCTGAATTCACTGTAACTGCACGCCCCCTTTCGTCTTCAAAAAAGTAAGAGCCGATAATTCCTCGCGCCGACATCGCAGCCCATACGGTCATTTTAGGCGAATGAAGGGGTTTCTGATGTTTGCGTTTCGGATTCATTGCACTCCAGTAGCGGCAATTCTGCTTATTTACGTGTCCATTAACATCAAAATGAGCTTCATCCGAAAACAAGATGTTGATAAAGTCAAGCCTCTGACTGGCATCTTGGGGCTTTAATTCTTAAACCAATTGAATTTTGTAGGGGTGCAGCTTTAGGTCTTTGTGCAAAATGCGGTGTAATGATGATCTATGCACATTTAAAGCACTTGCGCGCTTCTGAATTGAAAGGTTCGGGTCGTCACGAACAGACTGATTAACACTCTCCACGTTTTCTACCGTTCTTGATGACCTTGGTCGCCCGGATTTTGGTTTTTCCAGCGTTGTACCGGTCCCTTCAAACTTTTTGACCCATTTTCGAATAAGAGGAATGCTTGGCGCATCATTTAAATGGCGAAAACCTCGAACACTACAGAACCTTCTACGCGCTACAGTCGCCGAATCACCGTTTTTGTAAAACTCTCGCACGCACAACGCACGGTCTGCTCCCGAGAAACGCTCCATAGCGACTGAATTCCCAAGAGCCAGGCTACCGATTGACATAACCCCCGTGCCCCTCGGACTCGTTGCGTTCACGCAGTAAGCTAAATAAATATAAACTTTCTTTTGAGACACCTTGTATGTATAGTATGTATGTATAAATTTAGATTAGTAGGATTTATGTATGACTAGCTGACCCGCGCAACTTCGTCTGCGTCTCTCAATAGTAATAAATTTTCTCCGTTTTTGAAACATTCTTCATTGGTGCTCCGCTCCTATTGGTCTTAGCGTGATGATATATAGCCTATAGCCTTCCTCGATAAATGGGCTATCTAACACTGAAAGAATTTTTCAAATCGGACCAGTAGTTCCTGAGATTAGCGCGTTCAAACAAACAAACAAACAAACAAACTCTTCAGCTTTATAATATTAGTATAGATAAATATTTCGTAGGTTAGGACCTTATTTATTTCTCTAATTTCTGTATACCTGTCACCAGTTTAAAATGAATCCAGTCCATCCAAAGGTTGCCTCGAAGAAATTGCACTAAGCGATAAGGCCGCCTAAGACTTTATAATGTCTGTAAAACCCTGGTGTATAAATAAAGTATTCAAACTCAAACTCTCTTTATTTCATAAAATTTTCAAAATTGTTTGAATTCGTCTTTTATGTAGACTCTAAAGTCATAGATCAACACACATAAAAGCAACAATCTCTATTTTGTCAAATAGTAAGTAAATAAATTTAACAAAAATCAAACCCATACAAAATCTATGATATGCCTGTGCCCGTGTATCTACAACCGCCCGTTTCAAAGGGGTTGAGCCTTATGAGAAGAAAGGGCAAACAAACTCATGGCCACTCTTTTGCAATTCACAGGTACATAAAATGGCACTATTAAATACATCACAACATTGTTTTGATGTGTGCTAGTATGTCCGTTATTAAGGACTAAAAGGTAAAAAGACAATGAAGAGAAAACAAGATTAAGAAAAAAAACGAATACAAGAGAAAATGAAGTGAATCATAAAAAAATAGAAAAAATAATAATAAAAAAAAAACACACTAGCCACACCACATTTTTACTTAAGAAAGAAATAGCCTGCGCTAATTAATCCCAAGTATTCTAATCCTCCATGTAATCCACAATCGAGTAGTAGGCCCTCTGGCACAAGCCACGTTTTATTGCGGATTTAAATTTGTTAATACTTGACTCTTGAATATTATTTGGGATTTTATTATAAAATCGGACACATTGACCTCGAAAAAACTTGTTTATCTTTTGGAGCCTAGAGGTGGGTACTACAATTTATTTTTATTTCTGGTATTTATGGCATTTACATCACTTTTTTTCAAAAAGCTATCTTTGTTTTTATGAACATACATATGTATATTACATTTTCATAAATATAATGACTTACTTTCATAAATACGCTGTCATTATATTTATTTCTTTAAACTTCTGCCTCAATGAACAACGATTGCCTAAATTATAAATATATTATCTATCTGTTTAATGTTAGAGTGAAAACTTCTTTAGCGGCGTTGTACACTTTTTTGTAATGGGTAAAAAATGTTTAACTCGCGTCAGGACACGTGACCCTGATCGAAAATTCGTAAGACAGATGGAGAGTAGACAGCCGGCGCGGCGTAGGAGAGGAAGTATCCCCCTCTCTTTCTACGGCGCGGCAAAATGTATGCCTGCGCCTGCTGTTTCGTTTAGGCGGCGCAGGGCGCTTGCGTGAATGTTCGTTTTTCTGAGAGATACACTTTTTAATGTAATATAAATTGTCATGTTACCACATAAATGATAGTACTTTTATACTTATAATTAAAGCAATTCGTGCAAAATTATTCCCTAACCATTCCAAAATATCAAAAATGCACAACGTTAATATTCTAGTTTTCACTTCTGCGGGCACCCCTGGAGTGCAACCCGTCGTTTTTTTTAAATAATTTACAACAACTGCTTTGCTTTTTAATTTTTTCAAAGGGTATATTGCTAAGACTCTATTTAATTTAATGTATAAATTTGCACTTTGTCAACAGAAAAAAGCGTTAATGCCCACTTGTAGCGCGGTGTGTAGGTGTGCAAACGTTACTTCAATCCCCTCCCCCCCCCCCCGTACCGATAACGCTGACGTATCGTAAACAAAACATTATAGTTT